CCCCCCCCCCCCCCCTCTCCCCAGTCAGATGGAGCCATTCTTCGTACAGCATTACGTTTACCGAAGCATTTCACCGGTCAGGTACTGTGGCATATAGATGTGCTTTGCCCCTGTTCTGGAGTATTCATTCACCTGATGAACTACTAGCAATAACCGTTTCGTAACTAGGACGTGACCTAGCACTATACCATGATTGATCGCACGACTTTGAGCGGGTACATTCACGTTGACCTATGATCTCATCGGAGCACGGCTGTGATTGTTCTATATATACATCAGGACAATCGACATCAACCCGATAGAGTGACTGTGGGCACAGCAATTGTTTGATTAGTTGGGTACTCCCTGGTACATACAAATGCACGTCTCTGAGCGTGGAAATACCGCGGAGGCTCGCCAATGAGCTGAGTTGCGCCAGGGCGGCCGCCGGGTCGCGACGAGACGCTCTGCTCAGGCGTGGGAACAAAATGCCGGTTATGGGTTCGCGTCATGATGCCTCGTGATATCTCAGTTCCCGTTCCCATACCAAATACATCTTTCGTCGCTACCTGGAGAAGTGGCCTCGAACAGTTGTCGTGTCGTTGATCTCGGAGCGCCACTATCACACCGTGTCCTTGAGAATGTGGACGCCTTGAATCTCAACGACTTTGATGATTCTCGGACTACCGGGTACCTTGCATGGACATTTCGGATAAAATATGTACTTAGTATTATGTCATACAGAAGTCCGGATCACTGCGCGTTGACTTCTTCGTGTTATGGACCTTGTATTCTTAGACTTTACGATTCTACGTTACTGTGCTTGTTACCCAGATCTATTCATGCGCAATGTGTGTAGCTCACCTGCAACGTTGTTCGCGCCCGCAGGTCCCGACTCATTCAACGCTTGGTCAACGATGGATGAGCTACGCGGGTCTGCGCGCGTACAGTCATCCTGTACTGGGTCCTTCCGTGCCTTCTTCGGAACGGGTAAATGCTCGTATCCGACTCGACGTTTCAGGACAAGGGATGGGCGGCTGTTGAGATATACTGGAGGCACGGACGGTACGCTGAAGACCGCTTTCTTTTCATAGCACGGGTGTTGGATCAGTAACTCCTGAACGGGCCAATACGCTGCTTAACTCACCTTCAACGCCTCATCGCTTATGATCATGATTGATCGTAACTTCAACGCCATCTTCAACGTACCCTTCGCGGTAGGAATGACAACGGGCACCGCCTGAACATTAACGACCATGCCAGGTCTAACTTCGCGGGGGGGGATCTTGGTCCATGACATATCTCCGAAAGCGCTGCGTACGTGTCAATGAAAGCGTCCATTGCATGGACATGGTATCGCTGACCCAGTTACGTTTGAGGCGCGATAAAAAGACACCTCATTCTCAGACGTATAGCACAGGCCGCGGCTCTTCAATATTTGCTTGCGGAATATACCTTGAGGGTCAATGTCTTTGCCGGGGTCGCCAAGGTCAACGATGCCGGCTTGTAAGTCCTTTGGCGGACAAGCCACTCGATTTTGGGCTCGAACAACGACGCCGCCGTTGACGCACTCGCCGTACTTCAGAGCATCTATGTCGCCTTGCTTGCACATGAATATCTTGCGGATGTTCTCGAGGGCTGCAAGCGTCGAGTTCAAAGAGCTGTGGTCGAAGAAGGCTATGTCGGCATAGGAAAGGGGTATGCCGGTTTTCTTCGGTAATCCGTCAAGCAGCCTATACCATTGTCAGAGATTCATTCGCGTGCGTGGCGTACAGGAACCATTGCATGTACAAGTACCTGTTTGTCGAGAACCAAGGCGGCAGTTTGCTATCGACTAGCACTCCGCATAATTCAACAACATGCTCCGTATCGGGTTGTTGGATATGGACGAGCGTGGCTTGCCCACGAGTTCCCTCGGCGACAACGTCACAAGTCGGGCCGAGCAACTCTGGCTGCATTGAGATCGGTTAGCAATGTCTACCGGACTTCATATCCTGCACATGCACGCACATCTTCGAAACGGGACAAGGCCCGTGAAGTTCCGCCCGCTGAACCGTTAAATCGTTCCATAGCATCGAATATACGTTGCCTGAGATCATCATTCGTTGCGAACTCACGAAGGATGCTCGTTCGCTCAGATACTGTGGACATGGTAGTGCGAGGCCTTCGAGTTTCGATCAAGTTTTTGCTTATATGCCCGAAACAGGGCGGGTGGGGCCGGTTCATGCGGCAATGCTATGCTTGCGGGCGTCGTGTGAGCTCACTCTAGCTAACTTTCTGCTTTTGTTCACGAAACATCGTTGTATTGAATGTGCTTGGTAACCTATAGCAATGATTTCGCCCAAAATGTTAAGGTCTCTGACACGCTTGTATGCTGCTCGGCCGCCATGTGCAGGTCGGCGTCATGCGATCATGCATAGCGCATGAGTTTGATGCGAGAGCTGCGTGGTATAAAGACTCGGCCGCGTTATCCAGTTCAGCTCATTCGAGCTCTGCCTTCCCCCATCACTTCCGCACCCTCACTCCCTTCCGTTCACGATCCTCAAATCGTATCTGTCTCCTGTTGCTCTGCATGGCTGGTGTAAAGTACGTATGAGTACTGTCGATTACGTTCATTGAACTGAGTTGAACACCAGGAACATCGTTGTCAGCGAGAGCGAGGACGACGACGGGACGCCTCCGCCCCCGTCCTCACCCATAGTGTCGCGAGCCATGCGACAGCCAATCAATCGGTCTCAGAAGGCTGCAAGTTCTGACGAGGAGGAGCCGTCCAAGTCCGTGTATGCTGATGTTTGACATGCATTATCTATGCTCACGGGACTGCCACAGGCTCGTCTCGAAGCCTGCGGATGTAGACGATGTCATCGAATGGAGCGACTCTGACCGTGGTCAAGGGCGTCGTCGGAACAAAGCTCGTCGGTCAGTATTGACGTTGCATGTCTGTGATGTTTACTGATAACCACATAAGTACCTTCTCACCCGACCAAGGCCACGCACTACAGGGAATTGCTGAAAGGGGGTGCGTACTCTCATGGCTATTATTAAACCGAGCTAAGTCAATCAACAGGCAACAATCGCATCGCAGCACCCCCAAACCAGCCAATAAGTCCAGGTCCGTCGCGGAATGTGTACTTGCAGCCGTCGAATCCCGTGTGGCTGAGTGATGTTGCAGACGTGGTATAGCAGGTCAAACCGACGATGCGGAGCCGGTTGAAGTTTATGAAGGACTTGCAACGACCACTACTCAAGGACACGGTCGTCGAGGTGCTGCGAGGGGTGCGCGTGCGAAGTAAACATTGTTATGCTCTTAGTGGTCACGACGATGTCTGATTGCCCCCAGTGTTGAAATATCTGACGACTATGAGATCGTCGACCGGTGCTTGACTGTCACATTCGCTTTGTCGTCCTGTCTGATACACGTGTGCATAGCGATGTCCCTTCTACTCAGGCTCCATTGAATGTTGCAATGACCAACACCCGTGGAAGGTGACATCCTTTGTAGTTCTTGTATGGCGTGTACCTCAACTGCGGTTGCTGTAGGGGTGAACCGGACTTTGAATATGTCATGGGTAGTGACGACGAAGATGCGCCTACGATGAGCGTGAAAGGAAAGGGGAAGTTCAGACCGTGCGTGTTTAAATGCTTCTTCATACTCGTCTCGGCTCTCACATTTTACCAGATCCGAACCTGCCGCTCCGTACGTTACTCGGTCCGGTAGGCGTAGCGGCAAGCAGCCGCGCGTGGCGTCCCCTGTGGGTTTCCCTGCCCTATTACCTGCGGTGGTTATGTCAACTTTTCTAGATAATGTACGAGGACCTTGATGGCCTTGATGAGGATCGCGATAATCGTCTTGACACACGTGAAGACGACGAGCTTGATCGTCACGGGAACCTCGCCAGTTTTATAGACGACGACGAAGAACACGCGGAGGATGCCGGCGACGTCGACTATGTTGCGTCGAGGTCTAGGTATGCAACTTATCTGTTCAACGCGACGATTGCTACATTTGTACAGATCGACCACAATGTCAAGCCCCGGTAAAGGCACGCCGCGCCAGCAGGATTCTGGTGTGCGGTTCAAGACGTGCGTTCACACGTCATCCGGCCTGTCCTGTGCGCGAATGACGACTTTTAGGCCTCCGCCGAACGCTTCACGTTCCATGCAATCTGTACCAATGACACCCAGGCGTAAAGTCGGGTATGTCGTTGCTCGCAGGATTCCTTTTTGATAACTCAACTGATGTATTGGTTAGAAATTATGTACCCCGACCCACGTCTGACGTGGTGGCATCGTGAGTACTTTTTCAGCTTGCATATTTCCGTGCTGACATTACATAGCGCATCAACTTCGTCCCCAGGCAAGCGGCAAGGAACATCATCGCCGTCTAAGAGAGATCATTCTGAGGATTTATCTTCTCGCCGCGTCAAAGTCAAAGTCGAGAAGGACGACGTACAAACCATCGCTCAGTCTCCACGTCGTCTGAACGATCATTCCGAAACAGTTCTTCCGGTGGCGCCTGAAGCTTCCGCTGGACCCGTTGCCCTGATCGCGAACGCGGACATGGCCAAACCTACCGTCGACTCCGTCAGCATGCCAAAGCTCTGATTTTTCGCAATGCTAACTTTGTTTTTCAGGGTGCCTGCCTCATAACCGACCTGGCTCTCTTCGAAGAGTCTTTACACGCTCATGTCATTCAATACCCCGCATTCTTGTCGTGCGTGCAGCACTGTCAGATCGTCTATGAATCGTTGCCTTACCATTGTGCAGGCAAGGGACCCTCATCACAGGTGCCGGTACAATGGGAACGCAGATCGGGGATATTGCGTGGTTAGCGGAAGCACCCGAAGGTGACGACACTCCCAAGTTCAATACTGGGAACATCCACTTCAAGTACGTTCATCCTACGTCGTTTCCGTCGTAGTCACTGCTGACCGTGTGTAGGCGGCTCATCGAGACTATATGTTTTACCGACGCCGCGGAACGCTACGTGATGAACCCAGGTGCTTGTGACAGTGATCGGTACGGCCTCATTACAAGGACGACTGGGCAAGGCTACACACTGCACACGTTGTCTCTGGGAGACAAAGCAGTTGACATGGTCTACTTCGGCTTTGTTTGTCGCGACGGCTCTGCTTTGAATACCCCCATTCCCGTCAACGGCAAAGGCGGGCCGAAATCTATTACCGGGCTATTCATTCATCCACTGAATGGGTTTTGCCAGCGCATCTGCGCGTTCCTGTATCAGGTTTTCTCAAAGAAAGCCACGACCCCGAAGTTGTCTACGCGGAACGGCCAGTGGCAATCGAGCACTATACCGGGCGAATTCAAGACTCCTAGACGTGGGTTATTGATGTGAATGCTCCGCTTGGTTGCTTACGTGACGTGCCAGAGTCGTTTCATTCTGGTGGGTTTGCTGTCCGGAGGGACAATCGAGAAGCAGGCGCGGCCGACGCCAACGTACACCCTGCTCTAGCACGCGTATCTAAAAGCGCAGCTCAAGAAGGTACGTACGTCGATTTCTGCGGAGCGTGATGCTTAACGACGTGCTGTAGTTCCCGTATTTGACAGTCGCCGTCACTTCATCAAGTCCTCCGTCCCGAAGAAATGGCGCGACGGCTTCTCTGTAGATGCAATTCTGACACAGGCTGGCTCAAAGCCTGACCCTCGCTGGACACGTCCTGAGATTCCGGATTACACGCTTGTAGCTGTGCACAACATCGTGAGCATGAATGACCGGAGCTATGTCAGCTTCAACATCACAGGAATCCAGGTATTAGTTGCTCCGGAAGGTGTTCCTTAGTATCATGACACGTTGTACAATCGTGGTCGCTCTTCTCTCGTTACTCCTCACATTGTCCATTCAACTGGACCATGTATCTGTGTCCGTTCAACCGGCCTGTTCTCATCTCCATTCAACTGGTGTATTTTCTTGTATTGCCAAGCAACCTTCTCACTGTGACTGTAGTAGTGCTCCGTTGACAGTCATTGATGACATACGAGTGCCATTGTTATATCTGTAATTGCATAATGTTGACCATGAGTTGCTGCCATTGGTAGATTATACAGCTTGCCTGATGTCATTGGCCGTCATTAGTCGTGATCGCTGGCTCTTTTGGACTGGCGCACTGCTCCGATGATGGGTATAGCATCAACTGACAAGTATTGCTATCTCCAGGAGCGTATGCATTTCTCTTTGTGTACGAGCATGCAATGGCATCGCGCTGGCGATGAGAGTTGTTCTTGCACTTTACATCATCAAAGTATAAACAACCGCAAATAGACACGTGGTGCTCGGTGGCTCACTTGCCCGATTCCGGTGATTCCGTGGTCTTGGACTTCGTCTTCCATGTCACGGCCTGGCAGGGCTTTGCGCACACAATCTCGCATCAGCTACCCGAACGAAACTGTCTGGTCGCCCTTGGCTCCGTCTCGCACCTCGCTGCATATCTTGATCGACGGCTTGAACGAACAGACTTTCCTGGGCTCCTTTTACGGGCCACTTGACGATTTTATAATATCTGCACTGTTTCTGCCTGACGGAAACGTACGAGCTGCTGACGACTTATCACTGACTTGTGCCTGTCCCTCCGACCACACCCGGTTTCGTTACACGTCCGAAGATGTCCGAATTTTACGTGAAATCTGCCGGTCGATGACAATACACGAACGTGGTGGCGATCCATGGGACGCTGTTGATAGTATTGTGCCATCCGTGATGGCCATACCTGCCTTTCATGGCAAGCCGAAGACGTACTTGAAGGCATTCGCACAGTAAGGTGTCTTATGTGCTACACTCTACAGTCGCTGATGTATTTGTAAGCTTGCTCTGTCGATACGTCATCCTTACTCGTCAAGATAGTCCAATCCGGCCATGTCGAGTACGCTTTCCGGGAAGATCCGCTGCTGAATTTGGCATGTGCGCCACGAAACAACTGTTACCAGGAGAGTTTATCATGGAGACATGCGGTTCCGTGTCCAAGGACATCTTCAAGTACGACGGCCCTTCCGTGATTTACAGCACTTCGTGCCAGCTCGCGGATAAAGGCCCTCATCTTTTACTTGGCCCTCCTCGCATGATAAACCATGACTGCGATCCCAATACCCACGTAAGTGTCACGATCATTATCACCCGACGGCACTCACTTCAGAGATAATGGACAGTTCTTTGCCATACCTGACACTTACGCCTTTGTACTCGTCGTTGTTCGGAACATTTCTCCCGGGGAGCAGTTGACCGTGGGTTATGGTAAATCGGGCTTTTACCAAGGCGATTGCCTTTGTCAAACGTGCACCGGCATCCCGTTCGACAACATTCAGCGGCTCAAGGTGTCGATTGGCCGAGAACCCAATGAACGCAAGCCGGGATATCGTAACCAGACTCGACTCTCAGTCGTCGATGCCGCGCCTAACAGACGCTGAGCAACTTGACTGCGACTCTTGGGTAAGCAGCTCGTCGTAGCCTATTACTGCAAGTTGCAAGGACACATCCCTAACGCTCTTTCGTAGGCAATAGCACGCCTGTGTCCAATGCATCTTGCCTTGTCAATGTCCCCATGGCATCTGCTCGGTCATGCGTATGGCATTGCCATAGCACTTTCTCCATACAGTGTTCAACGTCACCGTCCCATTTATTTTCACAGTTGTCATATGATGTTCCTGGATTTCGCCATTGTTCGTTTTTTTACGATGGAATATACCTTGTCATTTCATGGATATTCGCATGATGCTATTGTATTGTGCCCTTAGTACGGCTGCGAAATTAAATGGTCGTGCTGCACGTCATATGACGAGTTCCGTCAACTCCCCTATCCTTAGACCATACACGTGCAAACCTCATGGAGCCGTGGGTTCGTATGAGTCATCGACTTCGAGATCAGCCAACAGCAGGTTCATTCTGAACATCTGCAACCGCGTACTGTGGGCCCTGCAACGGCGATCCTTCACCACCGGACCTTCGCAATTAATGGTTCGTGCTCTTATCGTTCTTGAAGATTTATTCAAACGTCGTTTCAAGGGGACCATTCAAGATCTCCCTACAGAAACGCTATTGGCCATCTTCGCGCATCTAGTCATCGCATGGCCAGCGGGCCAGTGTGCAAGCGCAGAAAATTACACTAGCATCGGCTGGATGGTCGCTTGTCACGTCTGCGGGACCTGGAGAAGGATACTCCTGCATTGGAACAGTATTTGGTCTTCTTCCGTCACGTCTTTCTACAACGTCGACGCGGTCAATACGTTCCTGGCCAGGTCTGGAAACGCTGCACTTAGCATCGACATGAATCTGCTGCACAGCCACTCTGCACACATGCCAAAACGGCCAGAAGTCGTCAACGCCATCATGAACGCTCGCGTCCTAAGCAGATCGCAAGTCATATTGTCGCATGCGCGTAACCACCGCAACCGAGGGTTCCACCCATCCCTACCGAGCCTCATGTGTAGCGTGCAACTTGATCATCTACGACATGTCGACGTGTTCATTCCATACCATCTGAAATTCACGGGTCTCATGAACGCTCGGCATCTGCAAATTCTCGGCCTGCGTTCTAATGCGGTTGACGCCTCCGAATGCCCTGTCCCACTACGATTCCTGCTTCACATCTTCGAGAACTGTCAACATCTTGACGTCATTAGAATCCATCGTTGCGTGGACACCACGATCCTTGACGACTTCAAGCCCGATTCAACGCGCGTGCGTGGAGTGCTATCCACAATCGATGTTGGGTGTCACGACGAAACCTTGCTCCCTATCTTGTCCGCATACTTCCACGTCCAAGACTGTCCTGCAGTGACGCTGGAAGTTTACTCCACGCTGGATCTTCGAGACACTCTCATGCTCGCGATAGACGGTTATGGAGCTCAACGACATGATATACAATCCCTCGACATCAAATACGACGAGGAGAAGGCACGCGAGCAAGATGGTTTCACTTTATTATATCACAGCGTCTTCTTCGGTTTACATCTTCACTTCGCCAACTGCCGGACAATCATATTGCGCATGGACGTCGAACGCATGACTTGGACCTGGGACACTTTCGTTCAGCTAGTCCCCTGTGGCCAAATCCGCGCCCTCACGTTGACAAACAACCGTGGCATGTACAGGCCTCCTGCCTCCGTACAACCCATGGACATGATGCGAACCCTGCACAACTTGGAGACCATACATCTTGACGATTCTCAGCATATTCACCTGTTACATGCCCTACCGTTGACCACTCCCATCACCGAAATTGTCATTCGGCTCCGGTCCGTAGACAGAGATGATTGCCTCCCTCAGATGTGGCAATGGTTACGACACCGGACGTCAACTACTGCAATGACGACGCTCATCTTGAAAGGGAACATTGAAATGCCCGTGGACAGTGGAAACTATCGTTACATGGACGGCCCCATGCTCGCGGCGTTGGAACCGCTCGTGACTGTTTGCGACGAACGTGACTCTGTTACCGCCCCTTATTGATAGCGGGGCTGGTGCCATTGAGATTGGATTGCGTCGCACAGATAATGGAACAGTATGCAATTACAGAGATCCTGCTCATAGTTTGACAACCGTTGTCAGCCCGTACGGGTCTTCGTACATTTTCCCGCACGAATTGACTTCTGCTGCACCCCAACTCTACCTCATCTTTTGCATATATCCGCCTTCTGACACGTACACATTTTCGCACCATGCCATCCACTGCAGTCCCGCGACCGGCTCGCGTACTTGGATTGGCAACTGGATCTGCAGCGCGCGCACGACACAGAGGCTACCATCTCCTCGACTTTCTCCTTTCATGTCTCAGCCTCGGGCTTCTCTGGTTCCTATCTCGTTCACATCACCCCATCCTATGTCAACACTCTCCCGCATGTCTGAACCATCGATATTCTGTAGTTCCTTTCCTACGCTCGTTTCCAAACTACAGTTCCCAACTCGGCCTCCCTGCACCGATGCACGCACTTTCCCAGTACGCTGTGCACCGCAGCCCGGCGAGCGCCGCGTGCACTCGGCTCCACTCCCAGTAGCCATAATCCTGTCAGTCAATCGCACCTGAAATGGCTCCTTGAACACCCGCAGTCAGAGCTCGAAATCTATATGCATGCGCGTGTCCTTTACATGGCGTCGCGATATGCAAGTCGAGCGCCGCTTTTTGCACGAATATATTTTGTACCGATTATGGACCTGGTCGCGAGCCACGCTTCAACGTACATGCGATAAGTCGTATCGTATGATCCCAATGATATGTGCCTAGATACATGGAAACGTCGTCTATAAATGTCAAGAAATGTCGTCTCGAACAATACGAGGACGCAAGAGTTTGCGCGTATCATATACGTTGCATAGATCCCGAATTTTAGCCATAACGTGCGCTTCGTATTGTCGGTAACGTTCCGGTCTCTGGATGGTAGATATACTACCTTGCAAATGCACGTTCGTGCGACGTATATCCTGTCTGCTGAGTAACCAGTTTCGCAATTCCATGACCTCTTCGAGTTCGTCGTGAAACGTGATCGCAACCGTAATGTCCCTGAGTGGGGCATCCGGTGCGAGGTGACGAACAAAGTCCAAGAGAGCGCGATGTTGGACAACGACTGTTTCCACCTCATGCATCCCAGCTATGACACCCTGCACGCCGTTATTCACAAACTCGTGCAGATCTGGATCGTCCCGTTTTGTATCGCACGATAGCTCTAATGACCGTGCCGTTGCACATGGAAACGCTTTTGCAAATGCGTCCCATGTCCACGAAGGCTCCTCATCGAGTGCCCGAAAGGCGATCCGGAGGCCACTTGACATGTAGGCTGTAAAAGCCAGGTAATAGTACGAGTATATCTCCGTCAGGCGGGTGTCGTCGACAGCACTATCGTGCTTGTATCGAATCTCGATAGACTCGACAGATTGCCGGGGCACGTCGAACGCCTCAGTGGAGAGGTGGACCGCGGCGGCCAGATCTTGTACGCCGTACAATTCAATTGCGACTCGAGAACTGTCATCGACGTAGAATGAGGTCGTGATCAACTTCACTAACATCTCATCAAAACAGCCCAGGTTGACTTCCTGCAGCACCCGACGTGTATCGCAGGGCCGGTCTTCGACCACTTCGCGTCCGAATTCCGTTGTATCGATGCACCGATGCAACGATATGCACCTAATATCAGGTGCTGCGTCCAGAGTCGCGATCAGAACTCGCCCAGTCATTGGGCACGACGCCATGTCCCCTGCGTTAGATCTGATGGAGAGGTGACGGAGACGGGGCGCGTTGATAGGTCTGGTTACACGACGTTGATGAGGAATGGCCACCTCAAGCCGTGTCATCTCCATGAACGTGATAGACGAGATGATGACGTGGAGTGACGGTACGTAATGCGGATGGTAATCGTCCCACGCCAAGTTAACAAATTCGCAAGCCCTCGAGAGCAGTTCGGGTCGTAGCACCCTTTCCTTAACACCATGCCTGTCCGGTCGCATACGCCAACCCTGTCGAAGGGTTTCCATGTCAATGCACAACGCGGATCCTCCAGCTCGCTCCACGAACGTGTTCACGGCAGATATGCTGTAGAACTGGGTAACGGCCCGCGCCCAGATGCCTTGCGATCCGAGAACAACACGCCTCCAGCGGCTGCAGACATGACCAATTATGACCCAGCCCATACCGACAGTGTCTCGGTCTTCGTTATATCGACCCGCGGGGCACAGCTGCTGATATACTTCAAATATCGCGTGTAGACATTCAACAGGTAGATCATCGATCGACGTCTATGCGGTACGTCAGCCCCCACACTATTTTGCATCCGTGAAAGAAATACCATGGCTTCATACGGCACAGTAGCAATAGCGCGATACGTGGCCGATGAGGTGTGTAACTAAGCCTTCACAGTCGATTCCGGGTCTTTTCAGATGGAACACGAACATGACTAATTGATCCCCACGGATCCACGTGAACTTCTCGAACAGAGCGTCTTGTCGGACACGGTCACCACTGAAACACATGACGGGAGTTTACCGACCGATATAAACTGACACGGCTACTATCGATCGTGATTTGAATGCCTATCACACATTCCTCGACTTTCACATGCGCTCAAGCTGACTTCACTACGACAAAGTCACCGCGATGACAACGTACATGGATGAGCGGACATATGTCATTCCGTATAATGTACATGTAACTGAACACCTCCGCGCACAGCCATTGCACGAACAACATCGGGCCACCACCTACATCGTCGGACTTGATCCAACTGCGATTCGTCTCTGCATTCGACGTAGACGACTGTCAAACATGGAAGTATACCAACATCATCAAAGCAGACCAACAACTCTGGCCCGCGGACGGTCCCATTCTCTGATACAACAACTGTGAGCGTCTGTACACCTGTGAAAGGTAACAGTGCCTCTGTAACGGCTCTCCTCTCGAATACCGTTGCGTACGGTTCCGCCCCCGATATCGATGGCATCCACATAACGGTCGATGTCGAGAGTTCTAAACGAAGGCGGCTGACGTGCGAGTTACCAAAGGCATGCAACAGAAACCAAGGCGCTGCCATAACAGGATGATCTCCTAGGCTGCACGACTTCGACGTCCGCCAATTGGTACTGACGCCTATGCTCAGCTTGTCCTGTGCACCCGCTTTGGGTATGGTTGCCGAGGCGCTGGCATTGACAACGACACCAAGGCCAGAGTCCACACCTTCGACGCGTAAGGTCACGGTGGCTCCGTCCTCGCACTGCGAGAATATAAACGCCGCCAACGCCTTTAACCTCGACTCTACCGCGACATATTTGCGTTGATCCTGAACGGGCACGTCACAATGGCATTGCACAGCCTTGGTGACCTCGAATGGCGCTTCAACGGTGACTCGTAGCTCGCGCATGCCTTGGACATTCAGGAAGGGCAAAGCTGCGAGGAACGCTGCGTCTATTGGCGTATGGTACGCCAATGCCTTGACATGTGTCCCTGACGCCGATCCTTCAATATGTTCCATTTCCTTGCCATACTCCACAACGCCTGCAAGATCCCACGCGTCGCAGCTCACGTCATTCCCTGCACCTGACGCCATCAAGAGGAATGCCGCCCACATCAGCCCACGGCAGCTGAATGTGCATCTGCTAGAGGACGTGGCAAGCAATGGTACTGTAGTCTTGAACACTGACAATCGCGGCAGTTGTACAGGTGTAGCTTCTGCACGCGGAATGCGTCCACGGGCGTTCACGACGAGCGTCTCCAAGTTCGATCCGCTCAGCCCTTGAAGGAGGCTCGTCCAATCGTACGCGCGTGACGTCCAAGGACTCAATATCTCGAGAGTCTCGAGACTTCTAAGCCCGCGTAGCATTTCGGCGAAGTACAACCCGTCGCCGTAAACGTCCGTTAAGCAAAGTGACTGTAGACGCGGGGCGAGTAGCGACGCCTTGCAGTCGATCGAACACTCTATTGCGTTCGGTAGGTTGATACGCAACTCGAAATGTGGAAAGTCGCGTAAATGTGGGCGGTCCAAGCGAATGATCTTGAGGTTGGGAAATGCGGCGGTCTTGTTTAAAATACCGTTCCACTGAGTCCGCGTATCGTCACGAGAGACTTCCAGCGATCGAGCGCGCGGCAACGCTTCCACAACGCGAGCAAGAGAAACATTCCCGCTGGTAGATATGTCGAGGAGATGGCCCTTCGACCTCTGTCGAAATAGGTCAAATGCGTCCTCGTTACTCGCAACGGCCACGAGCGAAGCCCAGAACGCCGGGTTCGACACGAGGACGCAATTCCATCTCCTGCATACAGATCGGAGGCCGTATGCAAAGGAGTCACGTCCATGATACGGGAGCAGCACCCCACGCGGTGGATTAGAAAAGGCCGCAATCCACAGCGCCTTGAAGAGGATGTCATCCGGGATAAGGAGTGTCGCGTCAACACCTATCAGGTCGTCAACCAACGATCGTACTCAAGCATATCACGGCGCACCTCGAGTCCTTTCACAAGTAATAGTTCCCTGCGCACTTGACATGATGATCGTCGGTTCACAGCACACGTCACTCGGCCCAGATACCCGCACGTGCTTATCAGACCGTCGGCCAAATATGGATGTTATTCCCACGCCCGAGCAGACCGTCTGCTCGTGCATAGGTCGCGTTTCGGTGCCAGGCTGCAACAAAATGGGCCAGGTTATTGATGAGCTGCGCCGGCTGTGTGCGTACTTGGCTCCGCACGTTGCACGTCGACTTCTTTATCGCACCTCATACTTCACCACCCAGATTATCTAACTGGCGTCGACCGACGACCCATTTTTTTTTCACGGTCACGACCCGCTACTTTGTCTCTAGCACGGCAAACGCGTGCACAACGTCGCACTATGCTTGTGTACTGGAAACTCTGTCCCGCGCAGAGACTCGGGCCAACAACAGCAAGTCGGTTCTGCGACCAATGCCCGACACGCGCACGGTCGCATGGCCGCCGTCAAAACTCCAGCACTTATAAAGTTCCTGCGCAAGTTCGCGACCATTTCTTCTCCCACCACCTTCCTCCAACCTACCGAACCGCACAAGACGCGCTCTCGAGTACTGCTATGGGACCTGCAATGAGATACCCCCGCGTCACCACGGACCCTCTCCTGGCCCCGTTCTTGTTAGTTCACTTGCACAACCGTAGTACACGACGCTGACGCACGCACAGAAGTGGAACGAAAAAGTTGTACCGTCAACAGAACGGAAAGACGAGGCTCATAAAACCTGGAAACTTGTCAGCTCCATCAGCCAAACAACGATGCCGCGTACTGAAGTGACTACTGCAGCGTCAAAGTTGCCAACGACTGTCGCCTTGCCATATTGCTCAACATATCCAGCTCAGGTAGGCAAGGCAAAAAGGTGCGTGTGCTGCACTTATCTTGATCCTGACACTGACGGGTCGCCGGTCAGGCAACCGTATGTTTTGTGTATCCGCGGCATGTATTCGACTTCATCGCTGGACAACCTGGCGTTGCCCATGAGCGGTTAGTCCACTTCTCCCGACCGACTTCCCGACTCTCAAACATCCCCAGTCTCAGACGTCGTCTTCTCAGCGAGGACCTCCGTGAGCAGGACGTCAATACCGGCATCCTCATCTTAAACAGCATGACCACCATGCCCTGCGAAGATGTGCTGGGTGAGATACCTACCGTAGCTCTGAATCAGACACTGACTGTCGACATCAGCGGTCTATAACGACAAGGAGCTTGCGGAACATATCTCAACGTACGACATGACGCACTACGTTGTCCTCGGCCAACACGATCCGATGAGGCCCGATGAGCTAGACTGTAACCTCCAAACCCGGCTATTCTGGCCTACTATGTAGCGTATCCGTACAATAGTATCATAGTAAGGGCATGGTGGACTGCAATATAATCTACTGAGTCGTACGTTGTCTGTCATAAGTTACGCTAACGGCTCCACGTGACTAGTAGCGTTCAATCTAGAACCGCAACGCGTTGCCAACGCGTTGCGGGCCGTAGGGAAATTGCCACAGTCCGTCGTGATGGTAACGTGGCTGACATGATGTCACGAACAAGACCCTGCCCGTATTGACCTCTCTTCTGACCCGATAACCTCATACGAAGTCTCATAATACCTGCTAGCGCCAGCGAGTGCGGGCGAGCGCGCGTGGTTGCAGGCGGTACCAATTTGATTCAATTGAATCCAAAGCCTGGAAGAATGGATCCAAGCGCCCTGCCTGACGCTGGGGCCTCCAGATCTCCTCACCGCGCTGTCATCGAGATCTCTAGTATTGCCGTGATACGCACGAGTGAGCTCCGGACGGGCGGCTACGCCGAGGACGCGTACGATATGCCGTTCAGAGGCCAGGCTCGGAGCCGTGATGTCACGCGTCGGTCGCCTCGGCCGCACGCCGGCGAACTCCGACAGCTTCCCCACGGCCCGCAACGCGTTGGCCACGCGTTGCGAACCTAGATTGAACACTACTATTCGTATCAGTCGTGGGAAGCGCAAGTTGGCGCGAACGACGCGGGCATGAACTTGACCGCCCTCCACATCCACTACCGTCTAGTCACGACAGTCAACAGTTGAGGGACAGGTAAAATACATACTGTAGCGGTGAAACATGGTGCGTGCTCTGCTATACCGCGTTGCGCTCTGTTAATGTCGTGCGTCAGGCTTCCATCCAAGATCTACCGCGGGAATGCCTCCTCCATATTTTCCTGTACCTGGCTGTTGCATGGCGTGCCGGACGGTACAGAGTCGGGCCCAACAATGTCGACCTAGGATGGGTTTTCGCCGGTCACGTCTGTGCTTGGTGGCGGTCGGTCTTACTCGATTCGCGGATTATATGGTCGCTATGGGCCACGTCGTTCTGCAACGTTAGCGCACTTCGCGTGTTCGTGGAAAGGGCAGGGAAGACAGGCTTGTGGATAGACATGAATCTCATGCATAAAAACTCTTGCGAGAGACAGATACCACGCGAAGTCATGGAAACCGTCATGGATCCCGACCTCTGGAAAACAGCTCGAGGCATTTTGAACGACGCCCCCAACCGCGGTCATCTGGCCTTCACGCCATTACTCTCTCAGCGGCTTACGTCCACTCCACTTACCAGTGTGAGCACCGTCGACGTCTTTCTCCCTCGACAACATCGCTTGGACGGGAACATACTCGCCCCATCATTACACTCGATATCCATACGCTCAGACGCAGCGGAGACCTCGCAGTGCCCAGTACCCGCGTCAATATTAATGGACATCTTCGAGACGTCAGTGCGTTTACGATACATCCACTTGCGTCGCTGCGTGGACACGACGTCGATTGGCGACCTGCCTTCTAGCGGACGCCATCGTCGTCTGCTCTCGAAGCTGGACATCGGCTGCATGGACGAAAGCCTGCTCCGCATCATCCATTACTACTTCGTCGTCGACTCGTCGTCCTCAGTCTCGATCGACTTGTACTCTACCTCGCAACTGTCGCGTGCTATGACTCTATGCTTCGACGATTTCAAACTTGATCGTGAATCAGTCACATCCATGGGTATTTTCTTCGATCACGAGTATGCCACTGGAGACGACGGCCATGATCTGTTCCGAACATACTTCTTCGGTCTACGACTGTATCCGCTAAACGACTTTGTCGTCATCTTACGCATGGACGAAACGCATCAGACGTGGTCGTGGCAGAACTTCACCGAGTTATTTCCATGTCAAAACATCACCTCGCTCACACTTCGGAATCGACAAAGTTTCGAATCTGTAACTGAAGTACGCCCTGGATACCTCTTGAGCCAGCTACACGGTCTAGAGACCGTTACTGTGGCAGATCGTCCACACATCGATTGCTTGACTGCCATTCCCCTCACATCGCCGATATCGACAATCATTATTGCCATTCCGGGCGCGGCAGACAACGAGGACCTCGCTGACGTGTGGCATTGGTTGAAAGAAAGAGGAAAGAGTGATAGGAATGTTCAACTACTCCTGTCGGGTAAACTGCAAACGGCGGAGGAGCTTGAACGGTACCGTCGCATCGAAGCCCCCGTCATCAGCGCTCTTCAACAGTTCGCAACCGTTGAGGATGATCGTTCGTTTGTGAAGGGTCATGTCATCCGGATTTATCATAATTAGGTATATCCGTTCCCTACTCGTCTCATTTAAAATGACGTTGACGCCCTGTTTTCGGCTTTGCGCTCAGAACGCGTCGCCGCCACCGAGTCGCGTCTCGGTCTTCGCCGAGATGGCATCACACGTGACCGCGTCCGGCTCGTCTCTCGATATATGCGCTCCTGTACGCGTATACCTTCCTCCACGGTCTTGTTTGACGTTCAAAATATTGCGTCACGGTCTCATACCTTTGGCTCTCGAAGCGCGTCCCGAACGGCCGCGGCCTTCGTCCTCCATTCACCGATCTCGTCCTCAATACTTCCACCCCCTTACCATCGTACCCCTAGCGTTCTGCGCCTGGCACGTACCGGCGCTCCGGATACCACCTGATAGGCACCTGATGCTTATATCCGGGGTGTATGGCGGTCCTCCGGGTCTCCTAGCGCACGCATTACGGTACTGTGTCTTGCTTTCTGATATTGGTTCTCTTTTCTGTTTCCTTTCTGTTCCTTTTACTGTCTGTACTTCCTACTGGTACGATCTCTTCCTCACATGGACATCATATGTTTTGTCATCTTCTGTATCTCCGACGCTCAGCATTTCGCTGTTCTACAACATATACTGCACACTGGTTTGCTATCTATCCCAGGTCCTCCCCTGGTTTTCCTCGCCTCAGTTCGGAGCTCTCGCTCCTGTTTCATTGTAGCGCCCTCGCACTTACCGCGTTACTGGTTGGTGGTTGTGGGTGTTATTTGCCTTCAGCGCCAGTTATACGCATCAACATATTGACTGTTTAAGGCACCTGTTCGTAAGAGAGACAGAACCATTTGACAACACCACTATAGCATTCAATAATCTGAATATATAGATCTCGTATGGGTGGCATACCAATCTGGTTATGTCATGTTCGGCATTTACTGTGACATACATGTTATTCCTGTCCGACACCCGAACACTCAGCTTGGGCGGGGGATCTAATATATGTGTTTTTTCGGAAAGTTATGATTACGCTGTATGCCCCGTTTCCGCCACGTTTCGATGGCCACTCCCTAGTCGCAGTCGTCGGAAGGAGTACATGCGGTACCCTCATGATATACCTCACGAGCAGATCGCTCGTATGGCTGTGACGCGAAGGGCTGTTGAGCGGCGATTGGGAGTCGACCCAGACCGCCTCATCACATACTTCTTCGTCTGCGACAAGTGCTGGGACCGTCATCCTATGTCCGAGCTGAACGATCTCCAGTCCCCTGCATGTACTATTGCTGGATGTGACGGCACCCTCTACAAACTGAAGGAGATCAGCAACCAAAAGACGAAGCGCGTCCCAGCCAAGTTGCTACCTACGATGAAGCTCGAATCATGTATCCGTCGTCTGCTCGCTCGGCCTGGAAAGTATCAGATGTTGCGAAGGTCCTTGCGTCACATCGACGATCACGATCCAGATGCATCTCCGCTTGCACTACCACCCCCGGACAGCCTGCTCGACGCATTTCCCAATGGCGATGTTCGTCTGCGTGACATCAGTGATGGTTGTGGGTTGCGTTCTCTCGCCGCTGATCTTGTTCGGAAGCGTGTCCCAAAGGAGGAGAGTGGTGATAGAGTGAAGGATACGCCCAAGGAAGGCAGGCAAAGGACTCGTCGTTTTATCTCCTTGCCCTGTGGCCTTGTGCTCATGATCAACATCGACTGGTACGTCCTTGGAAGTTATGTTCTTCACAAGAGTATCGTGCTCATACACCCCATAAGGTTCCAGCCAATGAAGAAGAGTGGTCATGGTCAACATTCGACCGGCGCAATCTATGTCATGCTAGCGAACAACTCCGGTGCTTTGCGCTTCCTTCCAGCCGAGATGTTCCTCGTTGCCATACTTCCAGGCCCCGATGAGCCTACCACCGAACAATTGAACAAAGTCATACAGCCTCTTGTGGATGAGCTACTGCGCTTGTACAATGGTATGTTGCTCACATGTACTCGATATCATCAGCCCTCAACAGCTTCACCCTTCGTTAGGTGTAGACATGCCTGTACATGGGATGGATGGGAAGCAGTGCATCCACTGCGCTCTCTACATGAACATCTCAGATCTGCCTGCCAGTCGAAAGATCTCGGGAATGCGTGGTCACACTTCCGAGGAATGGATGTGCACCTGGTGCAAAATGACCATGGCATCTCTCACTCACTCGCGATGTTTCGATCCTGCAGGTACGTGCATGACACAATCGCAGGTGGTCCATACCATAACTCATGTGTCTTATCACAGGCTTCTCCCTGCGTAGTGATTGGCGCTACCTTAAGTACGCATACCACTCACAGCACCTTTCCGATGCACAGAAGAAAGAGGTTTGGGAGAAGCGGGGCGTTCAGTGGTCAGAACTTGACCGCTTGCCGGGATGGATGCCGTCGGTGAACTCGCCTCTCGATCTCTTGCATGGTGGCTTTCTGGGTCAGTCCCACTGAAGCCAAAGGTGTTGATGTCACTGAGCCTTAGCATAGCATTTGTCAAGCACATCATCCGGGTCATATGGATCAAGTACGGCCTTCTGAATGCCCGTCGAGGCGATTCATCGAGCCCACTTCAGCGCTTTGAAGATGCTTTGTCTTCGATTGTATGGCCTTCAGATGTCAGTAGGGTCCCATCGAAGGTAAGCGCCACTAGTTGTCGAGTTCTCATTACCCAATCTTACACTCATATCTCTACTTGAGCTTTCGGGGATCAGCAAGGGTGATCATTATCGAAACCTCGCAGCCGTACTTCCAGTGCTGCTTTATTGCGCACTCCAGGAGGACGGCAAGATCCCTCATCGCCAAGCACCACTTCCCCGCTCATCTACAAATGCATCGAAGGAGCTCACCCGTCTCGAGGCTCTATACAACTCGCGCCGTGTGAAGGACATGCAGGCGCGACGAGCCGAGGGTATGGCCACTGACGAAGATGTCCGTGATGCAATCGAGAACCCTGTGGCTATGGATCGAAGTGTGAGCGCACACTATGATCATACCCTGTCAGCACTCACTGCTCTTCGGGCTTGGAGTCAGCGGGACATATCTCCCAATGAGGCTCAGCGAGCCGAGCACCATTATGTCGCCGCGTGCAAGGGATGGGCGAGCATACATGCTCTACTCACTCCGTACTTTCACTTACTCGGGCATACAACTGCCATCATACTGCGATATGGACCACTTCCCTCGTTCTGGCTATTCGGTTGCGAGCGTGCGAATGGCAAGCTGACCAAATTCCGAACCAACAATCGCGATGGAGGAGAGCTTGAAGCGACTCTCATGAGGTGTTGGACGAAGACCCAGCTGGTACACGAGCTTGTAAGTGTTGCTTGACTTCTGGTGTCAGAGTAACAACTGATAGATCATAGATGGAACAGCTCCAAACGCATGCCGATGTCAGCGAGTTGGACAGGGACGCATACAACGAGCTCAAGGAGTGTATCGATGGTGAGGGCTCAAAGTCAAAGCTCGGTGTCCATCAGGCACTTGTGGACATGCTCGCTGCTCGCGCAGCTGAACAACTCAACACGCCATCGCCTGGTATACCGGGTATGCATTCATCATCACAATCAACTTGATCCTGTAGCTCATGCATCTAGCAGCCTTCCGACTCTCGCCGCAGAGCAAGGCCATTCGTTTGCAGAAGCTGGGCTTATACAACCTGGCTTTCGAGTATGTCCGAGAGCTGTGGAAGGATACCGTACACTTGGTCCCACTCTCTTCGGTTCCCAACTGGCGTGACGGCGAGGAAGCTTTTGGCGATCTTCATGTGCGGTCCTATCATTATGTCTGCGTCAACGGACGACAATTCGGGGCCTACAACTCATTCCATGGCCGTGGGCGATCCAACGTCTTCATCGACGGCCGCCAGGCAACTCGTGTGCAGCGCATTCTTCGCATCGAGCATGTCCGTGCTCAGGGTGCAGCCCAGTCTGAGACGCTCAGCACTACAGTTGCTGTTGTTTCTCGCTTCAGATCCGATCCAAGACTTCCGATGATGCCTTGGGATACCCGGTCAGTTCTTGCATTCCATCTTCCAGGGCTCAACTGAGAGTTCGCTCAAGAGGTGTAGATCCCGGCATATATACATGGCTCGCGGACGATGAAGCCTTTGCGTCTTTCGAGATCATCCCGGTCGAGCGCTTGACTGGGCACTTTGCGCTTATGCCCATCCCTCTGGGTCGCGATGCGCCGTGGTCATCTGCCTGGGCCACTATATCTACGGACCGCGTGCGTACATCTTCGTTCAACCTACCCCGAGTAATGCCATTGACAAGGATGTTATCTAGTGGGGGCAGGAACCAGAGCCTATTGTTGACTTTGATGATAATATATGGGCCGAGTAGTGTTACACGAGTACGTGGTAGCCATTCGGGCTATGCCTTATCTCATCATCTTTAGCAAAGCAAGATCAACACAAGCTGCCGAGACATCCGGGAGATGCGGAGGCCGAGGTGTAAGAAATACGGTCGCATGCCCAGGCCGCGATCTGGAAATAAATATATATATGATATTTTTGAACGGTCCGATTTCATCTTGTAGCCTCCCACAGTTGTGTAGCCTGGTTCGGAACACAAATGTCTCATAGATTGGTCACAGGAGGGGAGGAGAGTAGGATACAACGAAAATGGGCGCGAGCGTCCGGGCAAATCGTGTTTGCCCGGACGATGGTGAGCAAGTTAACATGTTGACATCGTCACCGATAGCTTGCTAGCCATGCTGGACAGTGTGCGGGACGTGCAGAAGATGTGCGAAACTCCACGCGTGTGCTTGAGATGTTCACGAGCAGCGCCACGGGGGGTACGAGCGGCATCAGTCCGCCCAAACTCGGCTCGCACAGCTTGAGTTTGTCTGGCGAGCGGTAGTCACATCCGAAGTTGCAACCCAGACGGAAATCTGGCTCGCCGCCCTTTGCTGCAATGGCTGTTTGTTCGAGCAGGTCGTCCGTATGTCGTTACCAGACAGGCGCAGCCCGTTCCGACGATCTCCAACACCACCTCGACAACCCGTCCGCTCGCGATCTACCTCACCTGTGTGTCCGACAACCACCGCCGAGCACTGCGCGCGACATTCAGGTGCGAGTCCCGGCGGCGAACATACGAATTGACGCACGCAACAGAAGAGCATCGGGGAGGGTGCCACGGCCGCATTACATCGGTCCCGTGGCCGCGCGCACTGGCAGGGTTGGCAGCGAAGATCGCTACTGCATGGCGTAAAGCCAAGGGGAAGCTTTCACAGCGCGGCTACGTGTCGCGTATGATAAAAAGGAGGTACTGGAGCGCGCTGCGCGCTGGGGCTCGCGAGTACGGATGAGGATGATGATGGGGGGTTGGTGTCCGGCCGAGTGAGTTGCAGAGCAGTCGTGACGGAAGGGGCTCGTGTTCGAGCCGAGTGTACGAGCGTACTTCTAACCAGACTATTAGAAGCAGACAAAATTCATTATGCCTGGCCGCTCTCGGTCAAGATTGTGGTGGTGGTCGGGGTGCAGGTAACACCGTCGCGCGACACGGGCCGTATTGTGCGCGCGCGCACGAGTATCTTGGCAACAATAAAATCCTCTTTTCATATCTCGTTGAAGACTCCTGTTTAAGAGCTGAAATTTTGTACACATGCTCTGGTTCTACTTGCACACATATCCTCGAAAGCGGGCGCGATGAGTATGACCCGTAAATATTCGGTACATGCACAGGCAACTCAACGCGATCAGGTGACCGCGTCGGATCGCGGTGCGCGCCCGCGTTTCACCCTAAGCGAGGGCTTGAAGCTGCAACACCTGTTGCTTCCGCCCCTCGCTGGACTGAGCTCGTGGGGGAGGTAGCCCCATCCCCTACTCGCGAAGGCTACTTCGGGCGGGGAGCCCCGTCCTCTACCGGCCGTCCTAGTACGCGGTTCGCAGACAGCTCGCGCAGTTAGTACGCGTCGAGTCTGTATATTCCAGGGAGATAGAGCTCAAACTGGGTCAAAGAGAGCCGCCCATGAAGCCGGCTCGTGCAATGAATATGCATTGAGACTGAGTACGGTCAGCCAGGGACGAATGCGAAGGCGCCGAAAATACGCGATGTTCGAACGTGTTCAACACGTCGCACGCCTCCGATTTCCGTTCCCTTACTTAATGCTGGGCATGTAACCGAGTTTACGAGGACCAGTTAGTGAATATGTACATGTCTACTACATCCAGAGAATACCTAGTCTTCGATTCGGGCGCAAAATCAGCCGTCGTATTCCAACTGGTCAATCTCATCATTGATCGTACCCTCAGCGCTGCCCGCGCGCCAGAACTCGTTGTCATTATCACCATCGTACCCCTCCGTCTGCTCCGGGAAGTCCTCGTTGGGCTGTGAGCGTACTGACGTCGCAATGCCACCCGCACCGACTGCTGCGGCGCTTGCTGGTCCGACGGCAAGGCCCATATTGATGTACTTTGGCGAGCGATACTTCTTGGGGTTGTTGGCCTCAAGCCACGATTCCTTCACATGAAGAAGACCCATCTTCTCCGGGTTCGGACGGGTTTTCGAGGCGCGTAGTTCCGGCAATGCCGATTTTGCCACGATCCTGCCTGTGCGCGTGCGGTTAGGCATAGGCGCCAACTCTCTCTCGACGATCTGAATGGCGACTTCAACCTACACAGCGGTGAGTCCTCAGAAAGCATGTATCTGCGTGTCCACGTACGCAGTCCGCACGGTAGTCCGGTATGCAAGACTCGAGACGGTTGGTCTTGCGCTTGCCCTTTGGCACGGAGGGAGCAGAGGGTTCTGGCGCAGGAGGGACGCTATTGTCATCGTCAGATAAGATAGCACCCTCGCCATCGGTGGCCTGATTGGGATCTGTCTCGTAGACAGTGTGGTCGGACGACTGGTTTCCTGCTTCGCGCAGGTGCTTGCAGGCAGATCCCGTCTTCTCGAGGAGCTCTTTCTCAATGTCGGGGCGATCAATGACTGCAGCGCGGCGATCGGCTTTCTGTGCAAGGTATGTGCGCCGTGAGCAAAGCATAGGTACATAGACATAAGTACTCACAATCTTCTTGCGCCCACCAATCCGATTCCTCAACTTTTCCGCCTCCTTCTCCTGTTCTGGCTTGCCTTGACCATTGTAACGCTCGACGTACGAGTTGTAACTGACATGCATGGCGTCCTTAACGACGTCCGCGTGTGTGGCGTCGAGCTCCTTCTGCGTGATCTGACTGTAGTGTGTGGTTCCCTGGGCCTTGACAAGCTCAACGACAGCTGTGACCCAACCTGTCTGCGGCTCGGAGTTCACTTTCCAGCCAAGCGACCAGCCAGGGCGAAGCCCTTCCTTCTTCGCAGCATCGACCCAGAAGCTGCCATCCGGGAGAGGATCGGGAAGTAAGTCAGAGGCCGAGATACCCATGAGGTTGACGAGCACGGTGCGAATACAAGCCTAGCAGGACTCGTCAATTGCGCAAACTCTTGACAAACAAAGTTGTGTGCACGGACCGACAGCGCAGCAGAGGTCTTACTCTCTGTGGAAGTCACCTCCTGAGAAGTACACTCGTCAAGGTGAGACTTGAACTGGCTCTCGAGAAGAGAGAGCCGCTCGTCCTGGGTCTTGAAGGTGGTGTTCATGAACTCGGTAAGCTTATCGAGGTCGGTCTTGAAACCTCGCATGTCGTTGAGTACTGCGGTGAACTTGAATGTCAAGTTCTCCGGTACATTGTCACGCAGTGTGTCAAGCGAAGACTCGAGACGCTCAAACTTCTCCTGCACGAAGCGTGGTATCCTCGGGGGCTGGCCCAGAGTTGGTGCTGCATTAATCCTGAATCAGATACACGACAAGGCTAAGAGCCGATTCGAGTACATACGGATAGTATTGTTTGACATGGGGACTTGAGTCTGGGCACCAGCGCCTTTCAAGACCTATTAGATGCACCCTTTGAATCACCAATAGTGGCTACTCACCAGTTCCAGGACCCTGGATTGCGCCCGATCTTGCTGCAATGCTTTGTTGTCCAGGGGTCACCGAGCGGGATTGCGACCTTTCGGGCACAGGAGATTCTGAACTGCAAGTCAGAGATGGTAGCTGGTATAACGATCGTATTGGCGCACCCGATCCGCCACCGACGCGGGCACGATTCGCTCCAGGTTGGCCAGGGACTGAAGGAGCAGGTCGTACCGGATCGACTGTGAAGATGAGCGCAGTGCGATGCACAACGACACAAATACGTACCAGGACTCGTCGGTGGTCGTTTACTGCCAGTGCGAGGAGCTGGGGTGCTTGGCGCAGGGCCATCGGACGAGGATAGATTGAAAGGGCGGAATGGGGAAGCCATGGGTGGTGCGAGTGAATCGGGCGACGGGCAGAGACATTTCGAACACAAACAGAACGACTTTATATACTTTATCAGCCCAAGGTACGCAAGAGGCGTCGGGGGTCATGGCGCGCTCGATCGTACTGCAGCACGAGTCGAGATACGAGATCCCGCTTCAGGGCACGGATAAAGTGCTGCGAGTGCAGAACACGATCATCCCTACCACAGACCGAAGTGTATTTGTTCGAGTCGAGTGAACCTGGTGGTTCACCCAGCAGTGCGAGGGAGTGCCGCATTCAGAACGGCCAACCTGTATATGCATACTATCATGAATGCAAGGAGAGAGCGACTCAGCGCAAACCGAGGATCCGCACACGCGGCGCGGCACGTGTTGGTCGCAGCATGGCCGCGCGCGCCGTCCCTGACGTTAGCCTCCTACCTCCACGCCCGACGTCACCTTGTTCGCAACTCCGCTACACCCAGCCGCACACGAAGTGCTCGAAGTGTGCCTGCGGTTCGCATTTCTGTGCACTTGGCCGTGATGGTCACACTCGCAATCATGAACTGACTTGTTCTCCAGCTGGCAAAATCAACGCGATGACCAGCAGAATACACGCGAAGACATGCCCCAGCCAACCACTTGAAATTCACTAGTATGTACACAGAATATGTACATGGCTCGGACTAATTTGATGTCGCAGGGGAGTCGTAAACAAGGAGATGTGTTGTTCGGGTGAGTCCGTCATCCCCTTATTGCCCTGTCTCCTCACGTCGATGTTGGCACTGACCCCACAGATCGTGAACTCGCTCCAATATGGGTGTCCACTAGTACTGTATCTGCCTGGCTCTGGTCTACACTCTGGCTGGTCTCTCGGGCTTGCACCAGTCTCTGGGTCTCACTCGGAGGTTCTCGCTCAGCCTGGCAATCGGACTTCTTTGGCTTACGTGGCTGGCTGTTTCGTACCCGCCCTTTCTCGTCATCGAGGTAGAGCCCTTCCTGTTATCTATAGCTCTACCGTGCTCACAAGGGGTGCAGGCGCTATGACGAACAGCAAGGTGTGAACCCAAGCTAGGTACGTTCCGTCCATATAGCTACGACATTCTTCGCACTCAGCACCCCATCTACAGGTCTCTATCTCGGTCAGGTTCTTGCACGCATACGTGCTCTATTCGGCTGGCGCTGTAATAGGAGGATTCGGGTGTGCAGGGTGGTGGCTTGTATAGCAGGGGGTGTTTTATAGGGTACATTGTATTATCTAGTGTGAATGCTACTGTTTAATGTGTGCTCTGCAACTACTACAACTATCTGATATGGCTGCTCGGTGCAAATAAATTGAATACAACGACCAGGAGCACTGCCTGCACAAAGCCCCTTGCACGTGCCATGCTTCGGATATGCGCGGGATCGGCGTCTGATAGTCCATCATTCTGACGCATATCGCGACCATATCCGCACTCCCGCCGGAAGGCTATCGGCTCCGGTTATCCGGGCTATCGGAAGGATATCTTGCGTCGATATGCGGGGCCACCTCCAGGTGTAATGTTCCTGACGCCCTAACTCCGGGACCACCAGTGCCGGGTACCCAGACCATGGCAGACACAGCTCTGCTACTCGGAAAGGAAGATGATGTCTAAGGCTTGCAATCGGCAAACGGTGCGATACCGCCACTTTCCATGTTGGGATCCTTGCAATTGGTGATGGCGGGTGCGGCGGCCATATATACATGATGCCATTCGACTAGAAGCGCTGCATTCTGCAGCTGAAACCTAGCTTGGGATGAGTAAAGCTGCAATCTCAGCATCTTGTGCAGCGCGTACGAGTATACCTCTGGCGCTGTAGGGCTTACAGTATACCGTATATAAGACCCTCCGTTCGATTTCGAAGTCGAAAGCAATCGTGGCCGGCCAGGGCCCACGGCCTTCGGCCGGCTAATCCGAGCGATATTGCCGCTCCAGCCTGTCCTTGCTTCTGGCCGACTCTCATGGCATTTCAAGTATCGCCGACTGAGATTCTTGCTATCCAAAGCAAGGCAGTGTAAATCTGCGTGGCTTGGGTTGAAAAAGAGGTTGTAGAGCGGGCCATGCGACGCAATTGATGGCATCAGCGTGCCTCCGGCAATCACCGGTTGGTCGGTTCCTGCGCCGGATTTCGAAAGTGGGAAACGGATCGCCACCCGGTGAGTGGCGAAGCGCGCTCAGATAAAATCGGACTTTTGATACATCGCCCGCCTCTGCGAGCTTACATACGGTCTACGGTCTATTTCTCAGCCGGAAGTTCGTGATGCGTACCACTGCGCGCGGTACGGACTTCGGGCAAAGGGGGCCGTTCGAAGTTCCTCAACCTGCGAGCGTCGTCCATCAGCGAATTGGCCCGACGCGAACCGCCAAATACTTTACAGACTGTTTACTGGACTCGCCCCTACGAGCTTTTGCACAGCGCACCAATTCTGATGTAAGGTCGCGCGTGGGGCCTTAAAGTTAGACGACGACTCGACCTTTGCACCGCGATGGAAGGCGAAAGGCAAAACGCGTTGGCGTCCTTTTGTTCGGCTGTGCGCGCGTCGCTAGCCTCGTGCTACGAGCCACGCGACGCCATGCACGTGCCACACTGTTACTTTCGAGTCCGGCCTCCCAGAGTCCCACTTTGCCTCTCCGTCACGCCTATACTCGTACCTCGCATCGGCATACGTGCCACAGACTTACTGAGGAAAAGAGACAGTAGCCTCGTTCCACCCTCGCGCAATAACATTATAATCGTACATATATTCATGAACCAAGCCAAAAAAGCGACCTATCAAATCATAGAGAACATATACACTGTTCATATCGATCAACGAGACGGAGAAGAAACAAACCAGAAACGGATGAAGAGAACGATATCGAGTTCGCCCCACTCCCAACTCGCCCTGGTCGTCTCAAACGACGTACACCTTCTCCTTCCTCAGCCTATACCCCTCCAGCCCCTTATAGTATTCAACGCGTTCCTTGCGCCTGCGCTCGCGGTCCTGCACAGCAGGGGAAAGAAGTAAGATGTTGTTCGTAAATCGTCCAGGAATGAACCAAAAAGAGAGGATGTGTGGTGTAGGGTGTAGATTGAATGAAGGGTAAGAGGGAAGGGGTTTATACCTCGCGGACCTCCTCAGGCGTGCTCTCCTGCCCCCTCCTCCTCTGCCTCGCGCGCACACCCGCATACGTCGCCCCGCGCTTCCTCGCCTTCTTAACGGGCGACCCAGGCAGACTGCTCGACCTCGCCACCACTTCCTCCCCATCCTCCTCGTCACTATCCTCATCTTCCTCCGCAGCGATAGCCTTCCGCGCCTTCTTCGCCGCCGGGCGCGTGCTCTTCTTCCCCGTAACTTTCGGCTTGGGCTTGGGCTTGGACATGGACTTGACGCGCGGACGAGGCAACATGTCCTCCAGCCTCCTCGTCACGGCCTCCGGATCCTCCTCCTCCTGTGCCGCATCGAACTCGTCGCTCTTGCGCTTGCGGCCCCTCGTCTTCGCGCGACCCGTATTCTCCTTGCCCTTCGTCCGCGGCTCAATAAGCGGCACCTCCCTCTCCTTGCCCTTCGCACCACCGCCAAGCTTCTTCGGCAACTCCGTCTCCGTCTCCTCGCCCTCCTCCTCCATCGCGCCCTCTCCGAACTCCGGAGCATGCGTGAGAGAAGGCCGCGCCTTGACGGGCGAAGGACTAGGCTCCCGCGGCCCATCGAACTCGCCCCGCCCATCGTACTCCTCGTTCTCGCCTACGCCTCCGTGGCTCTTATGTCGCCGCATCGTTACGCTGCCCCGATCGCGCGGCCCGTTGCGCGGCGTCATGGGCGTGCGCTCGCCGTCGCGGTTCTTCCTCGGCGTGCGTTGCTCATCCTTCCTCGGCGTCCTCGCTTGAACAGGCGACGACGCGAAGCCCGGAATAGAATTATCGTCGCTCGGCACCTGAGCCTCGGCCACACGCGGCGCGCGCACAGGCGTAGAAAGCACCAGCGCGAACCCGCCCCTTTCACTCGGCGGCGTCGCATACAAATCCTCAATACTATCGTGCGTCGCGGCCGAGCGCGCCGGACTGCCCACGCCACCCAGCCCTTCATCGTGGGGCGGGCTGGACGGCGGCAAGTCAAGGTCAGCGAACCGATTGCGCTCGGAGGGCGTGGGCGGGTTGAGATCTTGGAACGAGCGCTGGCCGAAGGGGATACGTTTCGCGGGCGAGGGGTCGGCGAGGGTGCGCCCGGACGCGCTGCGGGCGAGGACTCTGCTGCCCGACGGCTTGGGCTTGGACGCGGAAGCGCCCGCACGAGCCGCCTCGGCGCGCGCGATGCTGGCCGCAGCAGCAGCGGACGTTTTCGGCGCGGGCTTCATCGCGCTCGAGTACGCGCGGCGCGCGCGCAGGAGCGCCTCGGTCGCCAGGATCCCGAACGGGTCGTCCTCCGCCCCGCCGCGGTGGCGCGCGGGCGAGGTGTAGACGCCCTCGCCCGCGCGGGGCTGCAAGATCCCACGGTTATCCGGTTCGGGGAGGCCGTGCGCGTCGCGCGCTGTGGGCGTGGCCGGGTCGTCCTCGCCGTCGTCGTCGTGGGGGTCAAAGTTCTCGTCGAAGCCCGCGTCGATCTGGTTCTCCTTGTCTGAGCCGCCCTGGGCGGGGGAGTATCCGTCGTAGCCCATGATACTGTCGTCGCTCGGCGGCTCGGGGAGCATGAACTCGCCTCCGTCGTCGCCTTCGATCGGCACATACGCGCCCTCCTCCGCCCCAAATCCAAATCCAAACTCATCGCTATCCCTCGCCCTCCTTCGGCGTTCCTCCTCCTCCGCCCTCCTCCTCGCGACACTCCCATAATCCAAAATATTACTGACGCCGCTCTCGTCGCTCATATCCGGCGCGAACAGCGCGGCCGTCGCCTCGTCCTGCGCGTTCTGCGTCGCGGGCGGGCGGATATTGTACCGGCGGGGCTTTTGTGGCGTTTCGAATGATTCGGAGGGGGCGAGCGTGCGCCCCACGCCGAGAACGTCGACGACTTCGCTGTGCGCGTGCGCGTGGACGTTCTCTTTGTCTTCGCCCTCGCCGTCTTCGTCGGGGTAGTGGTCGCCCGGATCGCTCCCGGCGTAGAGAGCGTCGTCGCCGGGCCAGAACGCGTCGTGCGAGAGGTTGTGGAAGCTCGTATCCTGGACTACGCGTTCGCTCGCTGCGCTGGGCGTCTCGGTCGGCTCTGAGCTGGGCGGGAGCGGCGAGACGGGCTGCTGCTGCTGCTGCTGCTGACGCCGACGAAGACTGGCTTCGGCAATGAGCTTGCGATGGCTCATCTGCGTCGACCACGGCGCCTGCTGGTGCTGCTTCGGACTCGCCGTATCCTCGCGTCTAAAGTTCGGCGGGATCCTGGGCGTCCCAGCCTCCGACGGCGGCTGAGGCGGCGGCGGCGGCTCGTGCCGGCCCGCGTGCGGCCTGACGGGCGTGCTGAGCTCCATCGTGCGCTCGTACTGCGCGCTGCCGAGCGTGACGTTCACTCTGTACTCCGACTCGGACATCGCCGGCTCCGTGTCGCCCCCCTCGCCCTCGCCCTCGCCCTCGCTCGAGTCGGGCATGGGCGGCTTGCCGATTCTGCGCGGGTGCGCACGTGGAGGGGGCGACTTGCGCGCGCTGGACGGGTCCGCGAACGGGTAGTCCCGCGGCATCGCTGGCGGCGGGCTGGAGCGCCGTGCAGATTTAGCCTTGGACTTGATCGTCCAGTTCCCGCCGCTGCGCGCGCCGGGCGGACCCATGCGCATGTCCACGTCCATTTCGGGCTCGTCCATGTCCTCCAGCACGGGGTTGTCCGTGTCGTGCAGCAACAAAGGGACGAAGGGCTCGGAGGCGGACCCCGCGGCGTTTGCCGTGTCGCGGCCTTCGTCCGGCGTCGTCATGCGCGATTCGTCGCGCGCTTCTTCGAATGAGACCGCTGGTTTGCCGGGGCGGCTGCGGCGCGGTGGAGGAGGAGGTTTGCGGGAGGAGGAGGCGAGGGCGGTCAGGGCCGACGGGCCGGGCACCGGGGTCGGGCTCAGTGCTTGCGTCGGTGTGCGGGCACTGTCGTCCTCAACTTCGGTCGGTGGTGTGCTTTCCTTCTTGGGAACTGCTGTATGTTATATGAGATATATAACCTTGCCAATATAATGCGTGAACATACCTTTCACCTTGCCCTTGCCCTTCCGGGTGGCCTTCACCCTGACGGGCCCAGCGGGCTCTACCTGCTCCTCCTCTTCTTGTTCAGCAGCCGACTGGCTCCTCGTGCGCCGGGTCGTGGGTTCAGGTTCGCGTTTGACTCGCTTGGTGAGGAGGACATAGCATGACGGCCGTTGCCGATGCGCGCTCTCGCCTCGCTTCTTGTTCGACCGGGTGCGACTGGCCGAAGCCATCGTATGATATGTGGATTACTGAAAGAATCACGTGAGTATTCAGGTATGCAGTGATGTTAGGGGGAGCGTACGGAAGGATGTGGGTAGCGCTGGGTGGTGGGTGGTCGTGGTTGTGGGCAAGGCGCGGGGGCGTGCGCCGCCGATCAACAGACTTCAAATGCCTCGTGACCGCGCATCCACCTTTCGGCCATCACCGTGTTCCTTGTTGTCTTTGTCCGCGATCACCCATGGCGCTTCGAGCCTCGAGGGCCAGTGGACCACTGTAATAACCAGATTTACCGCAAGAGTCAAGATCCGGACACCGCATGAGCTCATATCTGCCGCCGGAACTTGTGTCCGCTCGTATACAACAGGCTTGGCCAAAACTCGGCACGCGGGGGGCACGACCGGGGCACGACCTGGGCACGACATTTAGGGAACGCTCTAAATCAAGTAAGCTATATAGTTCCATCCCTCGATTATGCACCGCATGAAGAAGCACGAAAGCAGGTCAATTGCCTTAGGAGGATTACCTTGGACGAGCTTCAAGGCCCGGACGAATACATGTTCACGTCCTGCTCGAGCCACTTGCCCGAGAGGATCTTCGTCACAGCGTTCATCTTACCAAGTCCGGAGCGGCCGTAGCTCCTGATGTCGGTGTATCAAGAGATGCGAGGGCTGGCTCGGGAAGACCCCTAAGCGCATCACTTCAGTGCCACACTATAGTGTCGCGTGATACCTGAATGGTACGCCGCTGACCTCCGCTGAACGCTTGGAATGATTACATCGTTATGATAGTCGTATGTACTATTCCATGTAGGCCATGTACAAGCCACGACCTACTAACAAACATCTTCACCAGGCGCCAAATGATCATCGCCGCCGTTCGGCCCAGATGCTGTGCACAAGTACATCTCTATCCCGCTGGGTGTCGTCGCTCGCGTGAGTACGTACGTTGCCATTTCATACACCTACGCATCGTGGCCAAGAGGTCCCAGGGGAGTCCGCTCTTTTCGGGGAGGAAATCGGACGCCCGCACGCGATATTCGAACGCGCAACTGTTCAAGCCCAAGCTGCGCTCACTGCGGCATTGTCTGGGTGTTTTCAGAAAGGTCTGCAGGTATGTATCTCCCGCTCCTTCCCTTCCCTCTCCTCTAACTGTACCCCGCTCGCAGGTACTGCACAGTCCTTTACGGAACCTACCGTTGACTACCAAATCCACTTGGTTCTCCTGCCAATACCTCACTCGGAAGAGCAATCTCGTGCACCTACCATAATCCCCCGTTGCCCATGCACAATACAACAATGCCCATAGAAGAAGCGGACACGTCTATCCGTATGCCTAATCTATGCGTTCCACTGGGCCGCTCTTCAAGCGGGCCGCCATGCAGTTCGCGCTTCCTAAGCCAAACAGTATTAGCGGATGTGTGTTTGCCCACACTGCTTCAAATTCCAGATTTATCAGCAGCGGAGTCCGCACATATCCAACGAGAACTTCAAGCGCTGTTGCTGCTGGACACTCATTATGATGGCTCGCGCGCCGCCCTTGATCGGTGTGTGGTTTGCTGCATATCCTGTACAGGTTCAACGTGACTGACTCAGCACGGTATAACAGGACCCAGGCACTCGTCGTCGGCACCAACAAGTATGGACGTTCCGAGTGGGCTCTTCGCGGCTGTCGCCGACGCCGACGCCATTCACGCCCATCTGCATCACGACTGGAAGGTCCCTGGCGGCCAGATCGTCAACCTACGCGATAAAGCTGCGACATACGAGGTCCACAGCGGAGATCAAAGCTCTGAGCGCGCGCCCGGGACTCCGTGAAGGCGACCCGATCTTCATCTATTTCGCAGGCCACGGATGTGTGGTGACCACCGCGAGTACCGATGAGAGTCTCCCGGCGATCTGGCCGTATGATGTCAGGTGCTGCGAGGATGTTTCTATCCCACGAGCTATCTCCTACAGTCTTCTCGACGAGCTCCTGCGCTCACTCGTTCAAGCAAACGGCACCGGCGCCAACATTGTGATGAGTTTATGCTCGAACCGTTTTGGCCAATACTGATGTCATATCATGCAGACTGTCGTACTTGACTGGTGTCCTCATAAAGACGCACCGGGACAGTGGATGCCATTGGATGGATTTTGGAACGGAACTGGCTATAGACCTTATGCTATGCTTATTGCAGCGAAGGATAACGAGCTTGGGAAACGAGGGTTCAGGTCAGCGAACAGCTTCGAAAAGGGGAACTAGGAAAAGAGTCAAAGATGCGCGGCGTCTTCACCAGAGGGCTTCTCAATGCTCTCAGCACCAAGTATCGACATCAGCTGCATCACGTACCGGGATCTCTTGAAGCTAGTAGACCTTGGGGCAGATGTCGTGAAATGTACGCCTGTTCCATCAACGTCGCGAACCATTCCGCTAACATGGTCGTTCTCATAGATAAACACCATCCGTGCAAGAACTAAACCTTGACCGCGCGCTTTTCAGCCCCTGTACCAACCACTCACGATCTCCCAGAGTTCCCGACTCAGTACTCACCCTTCAAGTGCACGCTCTCACGCCAAAGTTCAGTGTAAAGACCCGGCCTCTACGTTCACCTACTCAGGACCGCACAGTACTGCACTGGTACTCTCTGACCTTATCGGTTCATTCGTGCTCTCATCGATATACACTACGGGTATCCAAAGTATATCATGACACTGCTTTTGAGATACCTCTATGTCATACCGCTCAGGCTGCCGTACGATTATAATCATCTGTCCTACGATGTGTCCCAAGTCTTCCTCCTAGTCTCGCTACGATAGAAATCACTGGTCTTATAGGAGAGGCTGGAGATACGATCGGGTGGTTGACGTTGAAGCTATTCTGACATGGTTGTCGGTGGCAGTTCAAGGGAGAGCCATTAATATACCGTGGAAAAGAACCGGCAATTGCCGGGACTCCTGGCACCAACCAACCTCCTGGCAGCCCTTCTTTCTCTCGGAACATCGGTTCCTCTTTGCACTACTACGAATTGGAAGGGTAAGCCCAGGCCTGGGCGTAATCACATGAGCAGCGCACGCTGGCTGTGGATCCCGGTACACAGGTAGCTACACACGTACAATGCTCGACACGCGATGAAACGTATAGACAGGCATCCAATGCGCTAGAACGACGCTCAAACCCACTCACTAATCCCCTCCTTGCTCAGAGGATACCTGCGTACCGCCCTGAAGCTCAGCCAGCCTACCGTTCATTCTCTGGCAGTAATAGACCCCCGCCGCCCCCCTTCGCGTGGGCTGCATGTGGGACCTCGCTGTTGCAGCGACGTGTCATAGACAGCTGATGCAGTGACAACCCGGCGGTACAGCGTTGCTATTGCTCGAGGAATTGAGTCATCGTCGAGAGGACCTAGAAACTGGGATACCCTACACAGACGATCGAATCTTGAATGAACGGAGGCCCGCGTCATTTGCTCCGGTGGTCTTATTGCAGCCGTCGACGATCCTCGCGCCGTTACTCCCTCAACTTTCCTCTTGTTGCCTACATACTGCATCTGACCTTCGCTTCAAGGCATTTCATATCGAGATTCTGTGTCGTGCTTTAGGTATCCCGTTCAGGAGGATTTGTACAGACCAAAATTTCAAGTCCACGCATGCAGCTGTTCGGCGATTCTGAACAAGATGATTGCAGCTGTAAACAGCCCTCTGAGGACGATCCCCGGCGGCAGTTTACACAAGGACATCCTGGATTGGGAAAAACATATTCCGTTCCCCACCCTTTCGGTACACCTGGCTGTGCAACAACCTACTACCTGTATTGCCCTTAGCATCGCGGATGAGGAAACGGCTGCGTGACCCGCTGACAAACGCGCTGCCTGAGTCATCTGATATCCTTCGCAGCGGCGTTACGCTCAACAAGCGCAAAGGCCTCATGGTACCGTTCCCTTTCACAAGACCATCTATACCAGACGTCGGGTCCTGGTGTGTCGAGGAACTTGTGTTGCAAGTCAGCGAACCCCAGATGCGATCCTACCGCGGCATGCTACGATGCACCCGGGGTGTTGTTCGGGCGATATACACCTACGCCTTTGGGACGGATTTCAGGAAATGGACACCCGTAATCGCTCTACAAGCATGTCTACGTCCAGAATGACGAAGTGCGACCTTCTCTTCTCGAAGCACTGTCCCGATCATAGCCGCCACTCAGAAGCCCATGCATTGGCCACAAGGTTACACAGAGATGCCGACCCTGCTCGACAGCCTATATAACCCTACTAGCGCAGCATATTGTTTGATCGTGCACGTGTATGTGAAGGCTTGTATTACTATCCGATACGCCTGCGCCTCGCGGATTGTATCACCATCCGATACGCCTGCGCATCGCGATTCGCGCCTTCATGGTCTTGTTTCGTGCATTCCTTGGGTCTGGTGAGAGGGCGGCTAGGCCTAATCGCATACGGAGATGAAGGCAGACGCCCAACACAGCATGCCAGAAACTGTCTTGAGCGGGACAACGGGGAATATCATCGCGCAAACTGGGCGCCACCGAGCGCTACTACACCTCGACTGCAGCCGCGCATGGAGAGAGCGGTGTGCTCGCCAGAGCGTATATATATGTTTCCCTTCCTCCCCCCGTTCCCTTCCCAACCCTACTGCAAACTCTTCACGGACTCCTTTGGCCACCGCAAAAAATCAAGCCTCCTGAACCACACTGTCAATGCCTCACTAGTAAAAGTAGTTCCTCCCCGTGCCTATACTCTGTCGCTGATGCATTCTGCAGTGCCGTCCTCACATACCGCTGTACATTGCAAGATGGTCGCTGAATTAAGTGATTCATCAACACGTATTGGCGGTGGACATGAAGGAATGAGAGAAAGCCGCGAGAACATCGTGATCACGTACGACACCTTTCGACCTTCTCTTCCAGTCTCACACTCTGACATCTGTTCGAGAAGGCGGGGTTGTCGGACCGACATCGACGCGCCGATTTGTCGCCTCACGCTTTCTCCTCGCGGCTCACTGCCTCGCAAGTCACCCGCCCGAAGCCGTACGCTGCCGACAACAGCGGCTTTCTCACCGTCCCTGTCGCTTCCGGGCTATTCGCTATCCGTTACCAGGCCATTACAGCCCATAGCTGAAGAATCTGTGCCGCCGGAGGCGCACATCAATTCGCACGCGGCTTTCGATCGGTACGTATCCCAAATATCGTGCTGACGCCCACCGAGACTCACCTTCGTACGCCGTGCTTTGACATCAGGGTTCCGCCGTATGCGTCCAGAACTCAAGCGCTTGTCATCGGCATCAACGAGTACGCGCACCGTCGATGGGCTCTGGATGGAGCTGTTGGTGACGCCGACGACATTTGCGACTATCTATATCGCTATCTAGGAGTTCCGGACAGTCAGGTCGTCAACCTGCGCGACAAAGCGGCGACGCATGAAGCCATTGTGGCGGAGATCAAAGCTTTGAGCGCGCGTCCGGGGCTTCGCGAAGGCGACCCAATCTTCATCTATTTCGCAGGCCATGGATGTGTGGCGACCGCCGCGGGTACCGACGGGGGCCTTCCGATGATCTGGCCGCACGATGTCAAGTGTTGCAAGGGTGGTGCTGTCCGTCAAGCTATCTCCTACAATCTTCTCGATGAGCTCCTGCGCTCTCTGGTTCAATCGAACGGTATCGGCGCCAACATTGTGAGGGTACCATCTCCAAATCTCCTTGTGACGCGCCTGAAATATTATACAGACCATCGTTTTTGACTGTTGCCTTGTCCATCGCACGTCGGGAAAGCGGTCGGGATCGTACGAGTGTTGGAAGGCAGCTGGCTATAGACCGTACGCCATGCTTCTCGCGTGCAGCGAAGGTCAAGAGGCTCTGGAAACGGTGACCGGGGAGCATCTCGAGGGAGAGATCTCAGGGGCAAAACCGAATAGACGTGGTGTCTTCACCGGAGCGCTTCTCCGTGCTCTGAAGTCGCCGCCAAACGGAATCGGTTCTGTCACTTATCGGGATCTCTTGAAACTTTTAGATCTTGGTGAAAGGTACCGTGAAAAGTGAGCCTTTTTCGTCGTGATTGTAGAGATCCCGCTGAGAAGGCTCCTCTCTATAGACAGACACCATCTATCAAAGGACTGAACGTCGATCGGCCACTTTTCTGCCCTTGCACCAATCGCTCACGACCCGCACCAGTACCCGCCTCACCCTCCAAGCGCAGGCCCTCGCGTCAAAGCTCTCTGTGAAGTACCGTATGATCTAGGGAATGCGTAAGGTCGACCAAGGTAACCCGTCGTCTTCCCCGCCGAAATTTGTTGTCCCATCGGGGATGAGGACGGGTTATCATTGCCACTGGGAGTGGAACGGGTCCGACGATCTTTGACGGGTATGAGCTGCCGGCTAGGTGCGAGCAGTACCCATCGCACCTAAGGGAGCTGCCATGCAAACCCTACCACCGTGACGGCGTTGTGACGCCGCACACAGATGACGAGAGAGTTTACGTGCACGTCGTCCTCCCCCTTCCTCTGCCCCCGTAGCTGTCTCGCTCGCTGCTCTCGTACATGTGTGCTGGCGCTCAGAGCCGTTGAGAGCTTTCCCGAGGAAAATCGGTTCAGGGGAAGAGCGGGGAGCGCAAGTGTGACGGCCCATCAGCGCAGCCGTCACAGTGGTAGGGTTTGCATGGCAGAGGCTCTCTCGGTCTCTTACGAGCCGTAGTCGAACGCTGTGTCCAGTCGCTCGCAGCTCGTCAAGCAACCCGCGGACTCGACGGGTTGAACGCGTCGAGCCTGTCCCTGTGCACAGCTCTACCCACAGTTTTGGTGTGCCCCGTGATGTTCTCTCCTTTGACTGTGCATCTCGCCGTATATATTTCTCCATGTAATCGACTGCACTGTCAGACTCAATACGATCGGCTATCGTTTGGCTATCGTCTCGTTCTGAGATGTATCGGGCACATCGGGCATATCGGTAAACGACGCACAACCCGAGGACCCCATATGGACCCCATATGGACCCATCGCTCACGGTCGTGCTTCGTGCCTTCGTCGCGTGTTCGTGCCGGAAGCGAGGAGCATGTCTGGAGCATGTATAGCGCGTGTAACCGCGCCGAACTGCGAGCGCGAAGCGCCTGCGAAGAAACGCTGACAATCGAGCGAAGATGTCGATGAGCGCTGAAGCATCTTGGATCGCGGCGCAGCGCGACGCTCGCGTTCAACCGGCATCGGGCCTGCTTGTTTAAGCAGTATGTGGCCTCTCTATGTCCTGAGTACATAGCCGCGTCCTGTTCAGGTTGTTGTGCGACTCTGCGAGGGTGGCGGCTGTGCTCCTTGTGTCGTGGCAATGTAATCTTATTCCCTATGACGATCACGCACATCACTCGAACCCGATTCCGCGCCGTCTGCGCTGACAGAGTACACTCGCAAATGGTGTGATATGAGCGTGGTGCAAAGCAAAGGCGCGTCGAGCGTCGTATCGGAGTCTAGCGATGTGTAACAGTCATCAACATCTACTTCCTCCTCCGCTGCCCATTCTCCGTATCACTACCCGTCGGACTCGAGCTGACACCACTACTCTTCACATCGCCCTCCGCACCCTCCTTGACATCAGCACATCCACCGTCCAACTCAACAGCCGGCGGCGCAGCCTTCTTATTTGCGCGTGGTTCGCGCTTGACACGGGCGAAGATACCGACGTTAGGGTCGCGGATAAAGTTGACGATGATCATTGGCCACGAAGGATGCGAAGGGAGCGTGTCGTAGAACTCTGGTGCGAGTTTGCGTAAGGCAGGGAGCCGGGTCCAGGGGATCGAGGGGAAGTCGTGGTGTTCGTTGTGGTAGCCGACCTAGCAACAACCCACATGTCAGCATCGGCATACATAGCGAAGTGAGAGGATGGGAAAGACGCACGTTATAAGCAAACACATTCAACCACCCATAATAGCTATACGTCTCCTGCTGCAACCCGTCCCACACATAATGCTCCGCAATGAAATGGCCTGCGAGCGGGTGCAAGCTCCCGGCCCAGAAACTGGACATTATGAGGTACATGAGCATGTTCTTGCCGCCCGGAACGAAAGTGCAGAGGAGGATGTCGAAGGTCAGTTGGGTGGCGATGCCGATGAGGTGCCAGTAGGTCGGCTTTTGGGAGCGGACGAAGCCGGGGCGGAGGGCGTAGAAGAGGATTTGGAATGTGCTGCGTGTATGTGTGAGTGCTTGGAGAGGTGGTCGAGGATGCAAGGGAAGTGCACCAGAAGAAAACCTTGCCGAGGACGTTGTTGAGGCATATGAGCTCCAGGTTTGTGGGGAGGTCGACGTCTACGCCGTCTTCGCCCATGTACTTGTGATGCTCCAAATGGTATCCCTGTATACCATCTTAGCTACTTCATAACCTCTCCAGAAGCGAAGAACGCACTTTGAAAGTGATAGCATACGGCACTCCAATCGGCAGATTCGCCACAATCGCGAGCACCTTGTTCGCCTTGATACCCTTGAACGCGAGATTGTGCGTGATCTCATGTACGGCGAGGAACAGGTTATGGTTCGCCGTCCCGCCTATGACGTACGCTGCTGCAAGGAACGCAAAGGTGAAGGGCGAGGTGAAGCGGAGGGTGTAGGCGACGGAGAGTTGGAGGAGTACGACGGAGAGGACGACGTATTTGGTCAGAGGCTCGTAGCCCATCAGTTTGAACACCTACACCACAGTCGATATAATATCCGGATATATGTTGGGAATACAAGGCGCACCTCTGGATGGGCCTTCATGATCTGCTTCCTCCTCGTCCGATGCGGTTCCTCGGTCATAATCCACAAGAAATCATTCGGGTCCTGCGGCGGACCGTACATTGCCTCGCTCTTCTCGTCTGGGCTCACCACCACCGTCCTCCTCGGCGCTGACGACATCGGGGAGCCGCCCTGCCAGACTTGCTTGCCCTCGGTCAGAGACTCGGCGCCGCCGAAGAGGCTAAAGTCTGTTCATAGTTCGTGATTAGCAGGCGCTTAAGGTGGTAATGGAGTCGAGCGCACCGACTTTGGGCTCATTGGGTATGTCGGCTGTCGGCGCCATGATCGAAGGTAAGAGAAGGAGAGTGTATGGCACGACTCGCAGAGTCGATGGCCGACTCGAATCAACCCGCAGATGGCCTCGACTTCCTCGCGGCGCCACACGTGGGGTTAGGGTCTCCAAACCGGTAACCAGCTTCGCGAGCGCTTATTTGGACACATTCAGAAAAAGCTTAATCCCGGAATGGTATAGTACGGATAGCGCAAGATGAGACAGTACAGCGAGAACCCTATGTATACGCCCAGCCACAACTCAGAACTGCCGCTTCTCGTTCTGCCATCCCATACCCGGTCCTCCTCCAAACCCGCCCGCACCTCCACCATACTGAGCCGGCCCACCGCCGTACCCTCCAGCCCCACCAAACCCACCGCCAGCACCCCCGCCAAGACCACCGCCCAACCCCTGCCCGCCCTTAACCCTCGCCATAATCAGCCCGCCATACTTCTTCCACCCAATCCACCCACCATACCCCACACCCGCGAACACCGCCAACTTCACCAACATTCCAAATATCCCACCGTCGCTTTCTCCCGCGCCGGAGGACGAAGAGCGCGAAGAGCCGAAGAAGCTCTTTCCCTTTTTGAGGCTGTTGCGTTGGGAGTCGGGCGCGGAGAGGACGACGGAGGAGGTTGTGACTGCTATTACGTCGTGCGGGTCTGAGACGTCGCCTGTTAGGGCTGAGAAGCCGATGTAGGGGTGCTTGGGGAGGACGACGTTGTCGGCCGAGAAGCAGGGTTTCCATTCGTCGACTGTGTAGGCGCGGGCGGTCAGTATGGGGTGGGATGGGAGGGGAGAAGGGGCGCTTACAGCCTTTGAACTGGATCTTGACGTCTAGATGCGTATCTTTGACATACGTGATCCTAAGCTTAGTAGGAACAGTCGTCCTCCTAAAGTTCGCCTACAGCACCACATCAACACGCCATCCTCTTCGCAACCAGATAGGACGACTCACAGTACACGCCCCGACCTTATTCCTCTCTCCATCCGTATCATGATCATAGCTAACAGTCCCATCACCCACCATCCCCACCACCCTTGGGAACGAAAACGAGTGCTTCCCATTGGCGTAGGTGTCAAGGAAGACGCCTAGACCGTTGAACTTGTCTTTTGAGCCGAATACGGGGCCGGGCTGTGCGCGGTCTTTGGTTATCCAGACGGCCATGCCGTCGCCGTAGAGGTGTGTTGATTTGTCGCCGATCTATTGATGAGACGTGGGTGAGCGAGGGAAACGGAGGGGAGGGGAGGGACGGACTTTGAATTCGAGCTCGATGACCCAGTTGTGTGCTGTTAGTGGTAGACGGGACCATAGCCACCCCTGCACGCGTCATGTTCAGTCATATATTCCATAAGTATCAGATGTAACATGGAATACGCACCATTTGCGAAGGCTTGTTTTGCGTCAACCGGATATGCTTATTCGTGTTCTGCGCGTCCTTTCAGCAATCTCATCCCACATGCCGATAAATAGAGCCACGCACGATATAGGCATCGGCGCCAAAGTCCCACCACCTATACGTACAATCAGCACTGTACCCTCTCACACATGACGGACACGGACACACCTGTTCTGTAAATCCTGGTCGATATACGGCGCGTAGATAGAGTGCGTCCGTAGTTGCGCGGTCTACGCGTAGTGCATCAGTATGAATTCGTTCGCAAGCCCTTGGATACACGTACGCGCTCAATAGTCCTATTAGCGATCCTCGTCCCGTCATAGCTCGCATTATCCTCCGGCTGAGCAGCAACCACGAGCCCGACGAGCGCCAATATCCTCAACAGCCCGAGCCCGACCATAACCGTTTTCCCACTCAGATGTTACAGAAAGAGAAAGAATGAAGGGCGAGCCTGCGCGTAGAGTCGAGTGACGAGGTAGAGGTCGAGGTGGTGGCGTGTAACGGTGTACGAGCGCCGAGAGATGCAGGACGTGGGAGACGGATCAGCGGGCATGTTGGGCCGAGCGCGCGCCGGAGGCGTGTTTGTTTTGTGCGCTGATGGTCGTGGGCGGCTTGGGATACAGTTGCCAGTCATCCAGCGTTGGCACCGGATGCTGAACTATGTTTGCCTTTCCAAAGAACGAACCTGGGCGCTCTACGCCTGAACGGAATGAACGGCCCACATCCTGCTCCGCCGCCGAAGCCCAGCAAGTTACCTCCATCCCTCTCGGACGTATACATACCATACCACACTATCAACCAACGATGTTGGAAAATGTCTTATGCTCGCATGTCTGTGTGTCCGCAGATAACACAGCAATCCAATGTCCAGTTCCTGATACCGTTTACCTCACAAGTATGCAAGCCAGTCCTCGAGGCTTCATGTCAGCCTCCGGCTCGTCCGTGGATGAACCTCATGTTTGCCTCATGGTTTAGGGGCTATCGTGTACTCTATAAGAGTCTCTTGACTACGTACCCTCAGGCCTGAGGACGGTCTGCGACCATTACTCAAGTTTCTCGGTTGCCGTTCCACTGTTACTCGGCTGTACACTTGCCCGCAGCTTCACTTGTACACTTAGTACCATCCAACATCCTAACGCCTCTCATAACGACCCCTGCCATGAACGCCGACGCCCTCCTCTCGCTCTCGACGCACGGTACGACACCCGTAACGCCCGCGGACTCCCGACACGAGCTCCTCCACGAACACCCACGGTTCTTCTACGAAGATGGCAACGTCGAGTTCCAGGTCCGTTCACCCTTCCTCCCTCCCCTTACCCACATCCTCACTAAGAGCACTTGCAGGTCGAGAACACGCTCTACAAACTCCACCGTTTCTTCTTCTCTCACTACTCCCCCTGGTTCCGCTCGCGCTTCTCCCAACCCGAATCCGAATCCGCGTCCGAGCCCGGTCTGCCTCCAGGCTGGGAATGTGTTGACGGTCCGGATGGCGTACTGGTCTATGTGAACTATGAGGAGAGGAAGATGCAGTTTGAGCCGCCTACGCCTGTTGAGGTTGGGGATATCGATTCGGACGTGATTGTGTTGGAGGATATCAAGACGGCCGAGTTCGATGCGTTGCTGTCTATCTTCTACCCCGAGTTCGTCTTGCCCCTCCTTCCTTCCTTCCGGTGGACTAGCAGAGCTGATGTAGAGCATGCAGAGACCTCGACCTCGGCGACCTCTCCACGGCCTCCGAATGGTCCTCCGTCCTCCGCCTCTCAACCCTCTACACATTCAGCACCCTAACGACCCGCGCCTACCGCGAACTCTCGCCCCTAATCACCCCCCTCGAGCGTCTGATTCTCGCACGGCAATACGATCACGAGCCCTGGGTAGACGAGGCACTGCGCGGGCTTATATTGCGCGAAGAGCCGCTGAGGGCGGAGGAGATGAGGAGGATGGGGTACGAGGATATTGCGTTTGTTGTTGCTGCGAGGGAGGGCGTGAGGGGTGGGGCCGTTGACGTTGAACATGCGAGCGAGAGGGTGGAGGAGTATCTTGCGCGGAGAAGGTACACCGAATCGAGCTCGAGCGGGACGATCGAGGAGACCTCGCGGTCGAGCTCCGAGATGGGCGGCGAGGCTGAAGAGGCGGAGGTGGATAGGACCGAGCTCGGCGAAGGCGACGAGGCGACGAGGCGCATTTGAAGGTTGTTGAGGATGGCGATGAAGGTGTTGGTGTGTTGCTTGTAGCGCAGGAGACGGGCGGTACGCTGTTTTCTTTGTAAGGTTGTTCGCGATTGTATGTTTATATGGATGTTTGTTGTATAGGTGGACCGTCGCGTGAGAAAGATGAGCTCGAGGATGAGGTACATTCGCAAGAGGAAGTTGTTGAAGAGGTGCCCGAGACCGCGAGCGAGCCGAAGGAGGATGTTGAACCAGGGCCCGAAGAAGCAACAGGGCCGGCCGCTAATGCAGACCCCGAGGACGTGGAACCACCCGTACATGAGCCAGCTCTCAGAAGACGCTCGACAGTCTCTCCCATCCCAGAGGAATCGCGCACGAGCAGCGCATCCCTTCCGGTAGAAGAGCCCGCGCCGTTGTCTGCCTCCCCGGAGCTCGTGCCTATCCCGCTCGAATATGTCCCTCTACCGTCCTCCGTCCGCTCGGGCACTCCTTCACCAGAAGAAGTTGTCCGACCTGAGAGCGCCGCAGCTGTGGCTCTTGAGATCGAAGATCCTGCTACGTCGACCTATGAACATTCCTCGCTACTGGCTGACGATGACGTGCAAGACGCGACGCAGGATCCCGCTCCCGTTCCAGAGGAGACTCAGAAGCCCGCCACGCCCCCACCTCCACCCGCCGAAGAACCCTCAAAGCCCTCCACGCCGCCTCCAGTCGACGAAGAGCCCACGTCCGTACCCGTACCAGAGCAGGTCGACCCTCGCGTCCAAGCCGAGGAAGACAAGAAGCGCCGCGAGGAGGACGAGGCCAAAGCTCGTGAAGACGCGATATGGGCTGAGTTCGAGCGGGAGACCAAGATGCGCGACGAGACTGCCAAAGGTCTGTACAACCTCTCCTCATTGCTAGCATACTCCGCATACTAACATCGTACAAACACGGTCAGCTTTAGCAGAAGAACGCGAGAAAGCCAACGCCACCCCTCCTCCATCTCGACCCAGCCTCTGGGGCGCCCTCTCCCGCTCCCCAAGCGCAGCCATAACCGAAACGTCCGCCGTAGCCGCCTCATTCGTCCCCCGCCCGCCAACTTCGAGGTCCTCCTCAATGTCGCTCTCATTCTCCGGTACAACACCCGGTGCACCGAGTCTCTGGAGCCGCTTCTCATATCTCGGCGCGAAACCCCCGTCGCGTTCGTCGTCGCCTGCTCGTCGGGGTTCGGTGTCAAGCGTGAATCCGATGCCCGTGAATGGGAACGGGAACGGGAACGGGCATGGGAGTGGGTCGAGGTCTTCGTCGTTGGCGAGGACGGAGGTGGGGAGCCCGCCTAATGTTGCTGATCTTCATGGTACTGAGAATCTTTCTGAACCTGATGATTCGCTTTCCTGACATTTTCTGCTCCGTAGATGCTTTGCAGGATCGCGCTGTGACTGCTGGTATCTGAGTCGGCGTGTTGTGCCATACTGTAGGATTCGGTCATGCGATCCTTTTTGTTGTTATGAGACTGGATCTCGTATACGTTCATTTCATGCTACACATATGGCTTGCAAGAAAGACATATATGTACTACACAACGCTATAGTGTTGAAGGGGACAACAGGAAGTCATTGACACGCTTGAGTGTGGTCCGCGATGGATTAGCCTCAGGTCGAGACGCGATGATCCATTCCAAACGCTTTCGTATCGACTGCTTGGAAGCAGTATCTAGGCAAGCGTCAACGCGTGCGCTGTCAGAGAGTGATTGAATACGCACCTCGTCTCGGCTCGTCGCGTAGTTGACCATTGTCGTCGAAGAATAGCTGGAGTAAAGCGACCGCCACTCCGACACTCGCGTCCTTCGCATCATCGCAAGCTACCACGACGTCCTTTCCCTCTGGCGTGAGATGTCTTGAAGCGAACGTGACGGCTTGTGGTAGGATGCTACGCAGGAGATCGTGCTGCCCTTTCTTGCCCGCCGCAAGCGTGCATCGATGAATGTGCGCAGAAGGTCCGGTAGTGGTCGAGGCTTCCGGCGAAGATGCATAGATGAGGAAGTAGGCCTTATCATGTAGAAGTGCGCCGTCCAGTCCAGCTCTTGGTAAATCGGCAAGTCGGCAGAGTCGTATGCGACCCGATATCTTCATGATGGGCGTCAAGCTGTCTGTCCAATCGTGGTCGGCTGTCCCGTATATGACGCCTGTTTGCGCTTCAGATACGATAGCTTGGACTAACGCCTCTACTTCAGATCGTTCTGCAGCGAGCAGTTCCGTTCGGTGCCTCCAGAAGAGCTGTGGAGTAAGGCCCTGGAGGATGAGAGTCAGATGAAGCAGAAATCGCACACGCTTGCAGCCATACTCACCATTCCCCATAGTTCGTGATCATCCCCGGACCCTTGCACGTATGCAAAGCCTTGCGTGCGTCGCTCGAGCCCATCATGCACCTGCCTCGAAGCAGAGACGCATATGATCGTGAAGAACTCGGTGGACGACGCCAAGTTCGGAAACGTCGAATTCGCCGGCGTAATCCAGAAAGGTCGGAGCGGTTTGGATAGTTCTGGTAGGACATATGAAGAAGACTGAATGCACATCAGAACGTGTATCTCACTGAATTTACGGGACACTCACTACAAGGTCTCTTGCCCATTGATCAAGACGTGAGGCGATTTGTGCATGTTCTTGCGAGCTGACTGCGCCAGGAGGCGTGTACAGCTGTGTGTCCCAGTCCCCCACGCCTCGCGAGCCGTCTGCAGTCTGTACTTTAAGAGCAACCGCTCTGTTGATCACGGCACACCAGATCGGTACTGTCTTCGAGAGCGCATCAGGGAGCCGCTTTCCTGATCGAGTAGAGTCGACGAGTATCATCCTGCGTGCCCATTTATTAGTATCTGGGAGTATTTCGAAGAGCTTCGCGTTATTTACCCGCCAAGTTCGACCACTAACGGCAGAAGATGCACATTGGGTCTGCGTAGGTTGAAACTCCAGCCGTTGTAGTGCCCGTCCGTTGACTTGAAGTAGGCAGGTTCCTTTCTGCACTGAAGTTTGTGAGTGTCTGTAGAAGCGTACAAGAGATAAACCGACTGCATACCAGTGTAGGGTCCGTGTACCAAGCTCCGCAACGCAAGTTCGCTAATAAGGCACCCGTCAGCCACACTTTCGGTTGCCTACGCCGAGCTACTTACGAAGGAAGGCAAAGGCTGGATAAGCCAGCCTAACTTGATTCACGAAGGCCACGTCCTCTCCGATTGAATGCAGCCGATTGTAGATGTCGAGGGATTCACGTCGCAGGTAAGCCAAAGCCTCCGCTTCAACGGCTGGCTTGGACAAGAAGGATTCGAGGGGCATGACGACTAGATCAAGCGCTCGTGAAGGAGTAGTAGTGTCAGGAGCCTAGACAGTCTGGCGGTCTTCATGATGGCGGCGAGAAACAGCATTTCGCTGACGGACGAATCGGTAGCATATCGCCGCTTCGGGCCGATGTCCGTCCTCCAGACGCGTCGGCCGCGAGAGCGCTCCTCCGAGTCCTCGACTCCTCGTCCCAAACGTCCATGCAGCCTGCAACTTGGGAATGCCGATGGAATACGGATCCTCCGCCAAAGAATCCCCTGCTGCCTATACTATGCAACGCACCCGGCTACCAGCTCCCAGATCTCGTCGGTCAAAAATCCGAGCGTGCATAATGTGGGACCATGGACTGGCTTCCTATCAGACACCCAAATACGGCCGGGTGTGAGCGTCCCTGCATACGGCAAGGTTCCTATCATGGCCATCATGGTATAAGCGCCTCAGGAGGTTTTATTCCTCCCCGCGCCTTCACCAGCGAAATCGTTCGGCGTATGGCCATCATCCTGTCCATCCTATGTTGGTCGGTCGTGGGCTCAACGCACGCTTTGGGGTGGGACCATAGGTGACTTTTCCCTTTAGTCACGGCCAAGTTCTAGTGCTTTCGAAGACTAATTCACATCTCCAGTCTTCGAAGTTACGTTGTCTCAGTACAGGATCTTCGCATGATAGCTCCAGGTCCTTCTCGAGCCACAACGTTCGGTGCAGCGCGCCATACCCGCGTTCGCACCTGCTCAAGACATTTCACAAGATTATGCTTGAGACACGAAACGCTTCGATAGACTCTCCACGTACAGGCTTCTCCGACGGCGCGACGAGGAGAATCCATCTTCACAGAACCACCTATTCCAAAGCTGCATCAACAAAGCTTCTATTCTACATGATGCTGTTCCCCACTTCTGCGGAGGTAACTATGGTTGGCTACCGCAGTACTGGGTCATTGATAGGTCAGCTGAAACGTTTATCGAGCCATGAGCGTATAAGTAACTGATGCTCGATCTAGCCTTGATGCCCAGCACAATCGCTTGTTCCTCCGACACCACCTTCGGACGATCACCATCTGGACGATGGTACTTGCTCGCTATGTAGAGGTTAACGATACATTCGTGGGCAAACTGCAACTTTCCACGGCTCCCTTGCTCTTTCAGACAGGCATGTTCGGTAAGTCCGTTCCCATAGCTATCGGAGCCCGAACCTGATAGCACCCATTGTTCAGGTATGCACACGCTTCTCATGTTTCTCTCCGTGTACATTCTATCGTATGTCTCATCTTGCGACGTCATGCGAACTGGATCGTTGATGCATCGATCGATAGGCGGAAAGGCATCAGCGCGAGTAGACGAACTATGCTGCTCATCCTCATACTTGTCATCTATGCGAGCAGCACAGTACACTGGGCACTTGCCACATCAGCCTTTGACAAGTTGATCAGAGATCCTACTGGGGCGCCGGGACCATCTCCAGCTGCCACGATCACTAGTGTGACACTCATCGGAATCAATGTACGGAACTCCTCTTAGATGCGAAGACATGGGCGACTCTGACTCTGAGGGATAGGTCACTTTGAGCGATGTGATTGTACTCTGGAGAGCACACGTGCTATGTGGCCGGGGCCGCGTCGTACTCTTGATTTCGTCGGCCTTGTTGGTATCCACTCCTAGTACGTCGACCCATTTCCTCGCTTTTGCGTCTACTAAGATCCCTTGCAGCTTGCCTTCTCGTGAACGTTATCATTCTCGTGAAGACGACACTCTCAAAGGAGTCTCTCGCACAGACAGCAGGAGACACCGTCATCGGCGCTCTTGGAGTCCTGTCTTCCTGTCTCACGAACATATGGGCCACTTCGCTCGTGATCTTCAGAACAGTGTGAGTACCTCTCACGCTGCGCTGTCTAGTATCAGTCAGAAGCTGATGATGGGGGTCGTCAGGAAGTATCGGCGGGACTTCGTCAAGTTCCTACGAGATCACGGGCCGGGCAGAAATGAGAGGGTGTTGATGCTTCTCGTCGAGAGCGGCGTGTTATATTGTATGTTCTGGGTATGTCTCCTTGCACGACGTATAAGGTCTGGACGTAATTGCTCACTTCTACATCTCATAGATAGCATTGCTGGCCATGGCTTGGTCCGGACTCAACAACGCGCAAACGGAGGATGTAACCTCGCCGTCGCTCGTAGCTCAATCCTCCATTTTTGCCAGTATGGCCCAGCTTTGCGTACGTTCATCACATGTCGTTATATATTTGCATGCTAAAACCATGTCAGGGCATATATCCTACCCTCGTCATCGTCGCCGTATGTCTACAGGGCGCCGCATACCGCCCGGAGATTCTGACAGGTCAGCTCCCTGGCCTGGACACGCAGAACGGGCATATATCAACGCAATTGGAGTTCGCACGTGCGAGAACACAGGCGACGATGCAGAGGAGAAGTGACACCGTCTCCGTGGGTCTACCGCCCTTCTCGTCCGACCTGGACATGGACCTGGAGCAGGACTCGCACGATCATCAAAGACTGGGAGAAGCGGATAAGAAGTCTGTGCCGTCTGTGCCGTGGTGAGTTGCTCTAGACTCCTTCCCAGCAGCCAGAGATCTGTCGGAAAAGACATTGTCGTGGTCGAAATCTGCTGGTGAGGTGTCTAGTGTTGCGCATCCCAGCGATGACGTGAGGGCGTAAACTGCATTACTCATAATATGTACAATACCACTTTTTCGACTTATGTATGTGGACACACGATTCAGAACCCATGATTTCGGAGAGACCAGTCCAGTGACTAATAACGAGAAAGAAGGGAAGGGTGTGCAAAGAGCGGCAGGGGCTGCAGGGTGCGCGGCCTCGGGCTGACCTCGGGCATACCCCTACGCACATTATGGCAAACAGATGGGACTGCTTACGGCTTCGCCTCAAGGCACTCATCACATTGCACCTTTACCCCGCAAATGGATCGTATCAAATACAACAGAAGTGCAGTAAGACCTAGAGATACCAGACATTGTGTTTAGTTGATTATACCCGTCCCCGCGTTTGCCGCAACGTAGTTATACGAATCTGACGCAGACATCGGCGAGACGCCCTTGAACTTCGACTGCACACAAGTCAGCCGTAGTGCCCATATACTAAGCAGAAGTAGACAATGACGTACGCTGATACCCGCCGTATTGAGCGCAGACAGCGATCCCGACCCAAGCAGAGTATTGGCCACGCACGCTCTCCCGAGCGCACTCTGACAAGCACTCCCATCGCTGGACGTCAGAGGAGCGTACACGGCTCCGCCATCGGCGATCAGAGGCGTTTCGACGCCGATGAAGTAGTTGCCCTCGGCGAGGACTGAGGCACCGTCGTACGGATCCAGAGCGTGTCCTGTGATTGGGCCGAAGTTGTTGTTCTGCGGACAGTGTGAGGATGGAAGACTGGTTGATAAGAGGATGGGGAGAGGAGCGCACGTAGATGTGGACGGCTTGGGTGTAGCCGGAAGTACCACCGATGTGTGGGCCGCGGCCGGAAGTCATGTATACGCTATATGATGAATTGGAATCAGGCTAAGCATCGGAAGAGTCTTGAGATGTACTCGCCTGTTCTGAGCGAAAGTGATCTCGTCACCGTCACCTGCAAAGAGCGCGACCTGAGAACAGCGTGAGACATCATGGGGTAAACCTTTCACGAGGATCCCTACCCAGTAGTGGTAGCCTTTAGAACCCTCGTCAGTAACCTGGAGAAAACTGCAAAGGATGCGCCTGGTACTCACCATCGCAACCGGTCGAGTAGATTGAGTCGCCCTGAATTCGAACATCACGCGTCAGTGAGCACTACGAGGCAATATGCTCTCGTGCACGCGTACATTGAATACATTGTTCGAGACCGTGAGCCCCTTGCTGGGGTTGAAGCCCTACAACACACGGTGATCGTGATCGGTGAGAGCTACACATCATGGTCGCGAACCCCTTACCGTGACGATCATTTGGCGACCGATGTGTTGGATCTGCAATGGGAGTCGGCGCACTGAGGCCATTTCCTGTCATCTGAAGCGCGTACGTAGTTGTGATCAATCTACGGGGAGCGTACAATCAGTTCGAGATACGAGGCAGAAAGCGAGGGAGAAGATAGCACGTACCCATACGTTCGTCGTGCCATCAAGCTGGATAGCGTCCTGCGCAAGGTCAGAGAACCGCCACGACCTTCAGACAGATGAAACGTACTCCGCCCTATGTGTGCGGTCAGTACCACGCGGATGTGCATAGCAGACAGCAGAAGCTTACCCAGACGTAGTGATGGTTGAGCTCCTCTATATATCGCATAGACGGTCAATATCGAAGCTTCGGCGCTGAGTAACGTGGAGAACGCACTGATGACGATGTTTTGAATGATGACCTACGAATGCTTGAATCAGCTCCAGAGAGCAGTCCGTCTAATCGTATACATACGTTCTCGACGTTGGGAAGGTACAAGCCCTTGCCCTGGCTAAGGGGCAGGCGATTCGTTAATACGTTGCATACAGGCTTCAGGTATACGCACAAGCCCGAGTTCTTGCCCTTGCCTATGATACTCTTGTTCGACCCACTATAGTGGCAGAGTCAGTCAAGTTGAGGGCATGCACAATGGTAGGCTTAGGCGTACACGTAGAGTGGTGAGGTGGAAGATACGTTGTAGGTGACTGTAGTCAGATTAGAGAAGCTCTGGTCCCGGATCATGGTCGCAACTTACCAGAAACGGTCGGGTAGGATGAACTGCACCCTGTACAAGCCATCAGTCATATCTAGCACCATTCAGACTGACCATTCACTAACAGTTGATGACATTCAACGCCTGCTGCGGGTTCGGCGTACAGTCCCAAGGCGCGCAACCAGTCGACGTCTCCGTCCCTTCATCGCTCGAGAAGTCCCACATCCGATCGAGGATGATGACACGTGGCGTTGAGTCCTGAAGCCACTCGACGAGGTCATCCTTGTTAGTAGGTGTCTGCGCTGTCGCGGAGCCACCACCAGTCGTGGCGGAGCCCATACCGAAGGGCGTGCCGATAGCCGCGACCCCGAGGCTGAGAGCCAGAGGGAAGAGAACGAGAGAGGCGACTGGATGCATCTTGCGGTACCAGGAAGATTGCAGCCCAACCTGCTTCCGAGCTCAATGAGAAGGTCCTTATTAACGGTATCGGCACGTATACGGTGGAAGGATCGGGCCCGGTCGAGGGGCAGGTGAGATCTGTCACCAGTCACCTCGGCCCGCCACAATGCCTTCAAACTGAGTCGTCGCGCAAACCAGCCGGCGGACCTGACAGCCAAGAACGACGGCCCATATGTATCAGAAGCTGCAGCGTACCTTGTTGCTTGTTGCCGTCGCTGCAGTCTTGCGGATACACGTCGGATACAATGCGGTAAGGGCGGCAAGTATTCATCCGAGCTGGTGAGAAGCCGAGAACCAGCCGCCGATGTTGTAGGTGAAGGTGTGCCACGCGCTCGTACATTCAAGCTGAATAGATTATCTCCAAAGGTACATGCACGGTCACCAGCTCTTCGACCTCCCTCGCCTGTACATGCCAGGCATCAACGGCGTCTCTTCCCTGCCATTCCTCTCTGTAGGCAACAGCATCAACTCATGCCTCCCATCCGACATATCGGATCGCAACGCACGACCGGCGTCGGGCTCGTCCACGACAACATAGCTGTCTCCAGCCACAGTATCCTCCCCGATCCCGCTATCACTCCATCGAACGCTCGATTCAGACGCGTCGGTGCTGTCGATCTCGATGGGCTCTCCTCGCGTGAGCCCAGAAGGTTGCCGTCGTGTACTCGGACGAGAGCCGGGTGTCGAGGGTGCGGCAACCTGCGCGCCAGTCGCCATTGACGTTCGACGTTGTGGTAACGGTCGCGTCGATGACGACGCGATTCGTAGAGAAGAGACCTGGCGCGTGAGGACAGGATTCTTCGTAGCGGCGAAGGATGTCGTTCGCGATGGTCCGGGTCGCGGGGGTGAACGCGGAACATGGGCGCCTATGGGCGAGTCTTCGCCCGTCGTCAGGCGTTTCTCGAGCACGAGTCTTTCCATGCCGCGCGTGAGTTGCGCGAACGAGGCCTGTTTCTGTGCTGAATCCATATCTGGCGGCATGATGGCGCTGAGCTCGTCGTGGATGTGAAGAGATGCTGCGGGAGGTATTAGCGTGATGAAAGTGATTCTGTGAAGTGGACGCACTCTGCCTCTCCAGTTTAGCTATACGAATCGCTAGATCCTGGACAGCGCGCTGGCTCAAGGTGCCATCTGTGTCTTGCGGAGTGCGAGGGAAGAGTGCCGCCAAGACGCGAGACATCGCCAACGAGACGAACAGGGAAAGATGATGTAGGAAGTGGATGTACTGGAAGGGTACGCGGTTGGGAAGGATGAATGCCAGAATCTTCATAACGAGAGGTGGGGTATCGTATATCGTGGCTTGTCCGGGACTAGGGTGAAAGATCAAGACGAGCTCGGCGAACATGGTGAATAGAGAAAGAAGTAGGCGCCACTAGAATGAAGGTTAGAATCGGAGTGCAGCGGATGCTTGGGGCGCGCTTACCAGAGTCGTCCAACTCCGACCGCCGAGCAAAGTAGAACCAAGTATTACAGACAGGGTTGTCAGGTGGAATCCAGCAGATCGTATTAGTCCTTCGTGGAGGAAGTCGAGTTGTGAGTGGCATTGTGTACATCGCATGATCCCAGTGCCGAACCTGGAAAGCCTCCCTCAGCACGTGTATAATGGGTCGATGAACTGTGTACACACCTATCGTACGCCCATCGTTTATTGGGGTCCATAAGAGACTCATAACCGTGGCGCACAGCCATGAACATGTCGGCGCCACTCGCGCCGACGCGGTCTGGGTGGTTCTTCCTGGCAAAGGCGCGGAAAGCAAGACGTATAGCATTTTCATCCGCGTCTGGCGGAACATGGAGTAATTCATAAAAGCTAGCTTCTACTCCGGTAAGGGCGGTGATAAAGTTGACGAGGAGGTATGCGAAAAGGCCAGATATGATGATGTAATGCCGTTCCCGCGCGGTGAGTTGCTTGCCCGTCAAGGAGACCACTATTCGGGCTATGATGTTGGATGCGACGGCCGGGATGATCTGCCAGCCCACCAGGGCAATCGAGAGCTTCGTGACAGCTTCCGCCATCTGCAGCGCAGTATCCGAGGCTACGACGAAGTGGTCAGCATCGTGAATACAGCACGTATAACACAAGAAAGTAAAGCTCAGGTCGGACAACGTCCGAGTGCATATGATCTCCTCTTCCTGGCCATATCCAACCGAACCACTGCCTCGCTCGAGGGCGAACCATCGTGTCTGCACACCACCACACACTTGCACGTCATTCTCATGCACAAGTGCTAGTCGGATGTACTCCGACAGCATACAGACGTCCTGGAAGGACGTGTATTGAACGCGCCGCGTTCGAAACGAGAAACCACTTCTGACGACCACCCGCGCGGCGACAATAGCCATACAGCGCACCACGCGAGCTCGGCTAGGCGCTCATAGGGCACTGAACCCCGGTATATGCTCAGCCTTTGCTTGCGCGTCATAGACCTTTGGACGCGCAAGCCATTAGAGGAGCATGCGGCTCGAAGAGCAGCGAGTTCGTTGTCTATCCGGCCTTACGATGCGCCATGGGAAGCTTTACAACAGCACATCGGGTATCGGATATTTCGTGGGTTCGCCGCTCAAGTGGACGGTGGGACGGAGTTGAAGCCAGGATCGACCCTTTTACTAGAACATCTTTGCGAAGTGCATAGGAGGACTGTGACGTACCGAGAGCACCCTCCTCCTACTTCGATTGGTTCACTCGGGGACAAGCCAGGCCGGGTCGAGAACTAGGTTCGTTAAGTGGGGGATATAGAGGATAGACGGTCAGTGCGGATTGCACCGCGTAAGGTCCAGGGTGCGTGAAGGTGGAGGTTGGGATCAGCTCACAACACACGCGCTCGCCCTCAGTAGCGTCGTCGCGGTCACGCGCGTTTCGCGCGCTACGTGTCGCGCGTCTCTTGGTGGGCACCAATGGCAAAGCGCGTTGTGATGCCAAGATCAGACAAACCAATTCCAGGGCAACACAGCTACGCAAATATCCATACAACTGATTCATTTCTCAATGTTGTGATACCAGTATAAGATGGCTGGAATTGTACTGCGACTTGAACTAGAAACGTATGCAAGGAGACCGCCATGTACACAGGTCAACTGGCATGAAATGATCCTATTAGTACGACAGCTCCATCAGAGGAACACTTGCTTGATGGCCTAGAGTTTGGCATCAACCTTCTTTCTTGGTTCTTGACACGTTCCTAGATGATGAGAAGAACCGATGCTCACCGGAGCTCTCGTCGTCCCGTCATCTTCGAGCAGAGATCTCTCGATGCGAACCGTCAGAACTTCGCTACTTCCCGCCCTACTTTCCGAACGGTTGTGAGACTGTTGAGCACGATGCAAGGGCAAAGTGTGGTCCGATATCTGTAAGGTAAGTGCGCTAGCAACGTTGACATCGCCGCTCGAGGCTTCCTGCTGCGCCTTCGAGATCTCGCGCAGAATGATGGCTAGAGGCCCCAGAGCCTGTAAGTTATTGTATCAGACAAGATTGACAGTACTAGATAACGGGGGCTCACAGATATCTGTCCCAGGACGGCTAAAGAGACGAAGCCACGGATCTGGTCGTGGTAACCGAGCGCTACTGTGACTATGTCCGCTACCAGAGTTACACAGCCGGATTCCACGAGAACATAGAAGAGTTTCAAGAAGATGCCATCCCTCTTCTGGTTCCCACGGACAACCTTCGGGGTTCCGATGGTTCGCCATGCGATGAGGAGAAGTCCAGAACCCATCGCTACCATGGACAATGCCCACGCAGAGGCCACTAACACCTTGGTCAGATGGTCTTCAAGAATGTGCGCCTGGATTGCATGGTATCCATAGGCTATGTTCAGACCTGAAACGTCGGGTCAGCCTTCGACGCATGCACGCGAGTACCGTCACGCTTACCAGCTTCCGCGAAGTGCACGGTCAACTACGATGAAGCATCAGCCGCGCTCGAACGATGATGGAAGGGTACCAACTAGCAGCGCTGCAAGATACGCGTGATGTTCCCATAGCACGTACACCCTCCACGTCTGATAGTTGTTTGATAGTTGTTAAGCAGCGGTTTTTCATGTAAAGATCATAGGACCAAACGTACGACAAAGAGCTTGTTGCAAAAGCCCTATGCGCGGATGTTGAGTACTATAGTCATAACTGCATAAGGGATCGGCGCTCACGTTGAATACACGCAGGAAATAACCAACGAGTATGTTGAACCGGAATCCAATGAAGTACTCGCTGACGCTCAGCGTAGAGTTGCTACCGTTATCCAGGGCATTGGCGACTTGCGAAGATGTGAACCCTACAAGGAGGTCGTCGAGATAGATGAAGACATGGGCGGTGCAAGAAGAGATGATGAAAATGGTGATCAACACCAAGAAGCTGAACGTGGCGTGTTCAACGCTGGGACTTGTAAGGGGAGGGCCAAACATACCGCGACGCAGTACGAGAACGACTAGGCCAGAGCCTGTACAAGATGATAGCTGCTATTACGAAGCTAGGTCGATTCAGCCGAGTACATAGAGGCTAGGTGTATCCACACACTTAGCTCCTGCAGGTAGGCGTAAGCTCATTGATTACGCTGGAAGATCCTACAACGCACCGTAGAAGGGGCCCACTAGCCATCCTGACAGCAGTCCGGATATGATTCCCTGAGTTGCTTCGTTACGGCTTGCCAGCTTCAAAAACAGAAGAAGGTAAAAATGTGAATGAGGGTGTCCAACCGCAGCCATTCGTACCTCTTATAGTGCAACAATGCTGCAGTGCAGGAAGAGACGACCACGTCTTCGCTAAAGAAGAAGCCGGAAACGGATCGCGACGAGTTGGACAACATTCGTTCGTCACATACTTGAGGCGGTGCGCGAATCTAGTAAGAACATGCGCGCGAAGTTGACATCGCTTTTCCGATGGATCAGTGGGATTCTCAACATCTTCTCCCGCAGCAACTGTCACTACCGGGCGCCAGGCTATCTCGGCTGGTGCGCGCTTCAGGGATGATCTATGAACCCAGGACGAACTCATCTGCAAAGCCTTGACACACGGTTCCCTTGCTACCATCGAGAACCTGGACCTTGTCTGGGCTATGCAAGTGGTGAAAGGCTGGCTAGTGTGAACAAGCCCAGGATAATGTGGGCCTCGTATGATCTCATGGTTCACGGTCACGCGTGTTCCGCGTCTTCTGGTTTGACAGACGTGGAGTCTTGGACGCGTCCCGCATTCACGGTGGCATAGGACCGATATACATCACGCCGAGCAGAGACCAAGTTACATCAATGCCCGCTTCTACGACTGACCGCCGGTGGTTCATACAAAGACGACCCGATGCACAGCTATCCAATGATACGCGACCAGCGGCTTGCGGCTCGCATTGCCGCTTTGGCTCTTGCAGGTGTGAATATCGATCCACATACTACCGATACAAGGTCTTGGCAATCTTGAGAAGAAGTCTCAATGACCGCGACGTTCTAGGAACCAATGTGATTCGCACCTTTGAGAGATCTTCTTCAGCTCCGTGTCCTACCGTCTCAATGTTTACCACCACTGCGTTATCCGGGACCGCCCCGTGCTCAGCTGCGCTAAGGGGGCTCCTGCCCTGATTGCGAGACATGGATAAGGAGGACATCTGCATAGCAATAGGACTCGTGATGTTGACAAATCCCATCGAACTTTGCACCTCTGCCTTGTAGATTTCCCGCAAGATGATGGCCAACGAAGATAATGCCTATAAAAGCGCGTCAGAATTTAATAGAGGGCCCATAACACAAGATAGGAACTAAGATCGCACCGTAATCTGGCCAAGTGTAATGATGACTATGATCCCATCTCCGAGATTGCGGTAGAGAAACACCAGCCCGACCAGCTCTGTCACCAGAGCTAAGCTACCAGACTCTATCAGAGCATGCCAGATGGCCAGATAGAAGCCGCTACTTTGTCGATTGATAGCAGATTGGGGCGTCCCAATGGTACGCCAACCGATGAGAAGCGCTCCGGAAACTTGCATGAGCATGGAGAATGCCCAACCTGAAGTGAGTAAGGCGGTGATTGTCTTGTCTAAGAGGGATCCTGTTCGTTCAATATGGACAACACATGCTATTCCGAGGGCTGTGATACCATTCAATACCGTGATCATCGATTGTCTCTGATGATCGAAGCAGGGGGAGCTTACCGAGAGCAACAAGGTGGAGAAAGATCTGGCAAAATCTCAGGATGGCGCCGCGCTTCGACAAGTGACCGACATACAAGTAACACGGACAGCTTTAAATTGCGACCCCACGTCATGTATACCCGCCACACCTGAATCATATCGGCGCCCGCGTGGCCTGTCATAGGAGGATAAGACATACGACGAAAAGATTGTTGCATGAACTCTGTAGAACCTCAGTGACTATGTGCACAGAGGTATGAAGCACCCACGTTGATGACATAGATAGATATACATGCTGTATTATTGAAACGGACTGAAAGGAAGTAGTTGGCAATAACTGCGGGGCCCTCGGTATCGACTCCTTGGGTCAAAGTGAATCCCACGATCAAATCGTCAAGGGAAATGAATGCATGAACTGTGCATGTGATAATAATGAGGGTTGCGATCAGCATCAGCGACCTTGAGAAGGTAAGACATTTTCCCAGGATGATAGAGGTGGCAACCCACCGAGATATTGCATGTCTGCGATGTGGCCAAAGTTTCCGAACTATGACCACTGCCATTGCGAAGCTGGATTGTGAGTCAATCGTGACTGATCTGGAGCGCGCCATGACGTACTTGGCACCTACGTTCAAGAGTGAGCCTTAGTGGGTAACGAGAACGACGAATGATGGTGCACCTACCGTAGACAGGTCCAACAAGCCAACCCGTCAGCAACCCAGAGTGGATACCCGTCTGGACAAAGGTGGACACATCCATTGCCAGGGTGTCAGGTTGTCTAGAATGAGGCTGTACTATCTGGTGTCGTCGGGTAAATCATAACAGAGGGCACAGCGCCTCTTATAGACGTTCGCAAGATCGAAGTCCATACATCGTTGTAGGAGTGATGCGATGCGCGCTGTTGCGCGTCGTAGTCGAATGTAGGCGAATTGCGCCCGGTCGGTACGCTCGGATCTCCCGTTGCTCGTGAACGAGCATGGTTAGCGTGATTAGCGCAAGGGGATTCCCTCTCGTGGTAGGCTGGATCAAGCCAACAGTCGTCGCCTCCAGTTCAGATGGACGCAACTGGGGCTACGGCATCGAGTGGATAAGCCACCGCTCCAAGCGCAGTGAGTATTGAGTCCTTGACTAGTTCCCGCGTCCCGCACGACGCAACAGATGATTCGTAGGCTCTTTCGCAGGATGACGGGAAGATCATGGGTGTTTGGGTTGGGGTCAACGTGGAAATGCATGATGATGCCAGCGGAACAAATCGCGGTCACGCGAGTTTCGCGTGTCAGGATAATCCAACTCGGACATCCAGCCCGGGCCGAGTGAACGGAGGCGCGATCAATCGTTGACAACAAGTCAAAGAATGTAGCCGGAATAGCAAGTAGTCAACAACCAGCACTTAACACAGATGTTCTGACACAGCGAGCTTCTGCTGCTAGCGTCCGTAGTATTCAAAAGCCTACTTACTCGAGTCGATAAAGTTGCAAAGGGCGGTACATAAAAGAGGGTCTTGAAGCAGTATCGTAAAAGAAGCGGCTACCCCGGTCATACGATGGTACTTCTGTCTGGATTTGGCGAGGGATACCGCTTAAAGGCGCCCGAAGCATCATGAGCCTGCATACCGGGACAAGGTTGTGGGTGCCACTTACCAGTTTCGCCTCCTTGTCATCGACCCGAGACGTCTCGATGGCAACCATGACAGCGTGATCCTGCACTTCTCCATCGTCCGACGAATTGGATGAGTCATGCGCACAGTAGCGGGGAAGTGTGTATCCCGGCATTTGCATGACCAGTGCGCTCGTGACGTTCGCGAATCCACCGGAAAGCTCACTCTCTGCCTTGTATATCTCGCGCAGGATGATGCCCAACGACGACAAACCCTGTGCAAGATCTATCAGATGCTCCGGTCGTCCAATAGAGGAATATGCACGCACAGATATCTGAGCAAGTACCGCTATGAATATCCAGTCGACCCACCAGTCGCGATTCCAGAGAAATATGATCCCCAATAGCTCTACCACAAGCGCCAAACTTCCCGATTCAACCAGAGCGAAGAAGATCGCCTGAAGAAGGTTTGATTGGTCATCACTCTTAACGACCTTGGGCGTATTCATCGTGTGCCACGCTATCAGAAGCGCGCCTGAGACTTGGGTGGCCATGGATAAGACGTATGTCGAGGTTAACAGCGCCCTGATGACGACGTCCCAGAGGTTGTCCGTTCGTATCATACGGCTAGCGCATGCAAGCGCCAGATTTGAAGACGGCGAGTCACGTCAGAGTGAGGTACGGACTGCAGAGAAAGACAGCTACCGAAGCCGGCAACATGCATGAACGACTGAAATATGGTGTCAAAGCGGACCCCTGATGAGAGCAGCACGAATAAGATACGTACAAGGACCGTCGCGAGAAGAACATTGCGTCTCCACGTTATATAGACGCGCCAAACCTGATTGTATTCAGAAGCAGTACCCACTGAAGATGATGGCGACCTACAATGAACGTGTTGTTGAAGAAAGCCTAAGCAGGGTCAGCCATACCGCCTTACTAGCCAAAGGGAAGCACATACATTGAACCCATACAGAAAGAAACAGGCAAGGAAGTTGAAACGCGCGGATGCGAAATAACCGTGGACAGCTGGGTCTTCCTTCTGTTCCAAAGCATGACTGTTGGCTCCAGTATGTAGTGATGTGAAGCCGAATATGAGATCGTCGAGGTATATGAATGCGTGCGCAGTGCAGGTGGATAGGAAGAGAGTGGTTATCAGCATCAAAGCCCTGAATGTCGCCGTCATCGCATGCATAGCTCAGGTTGCGACTTGAACGGTGCTCACTGGGATACCCTATCTGTCATGCGACGTGACCAAAGCTTTCGCACTATGATGATCGAGATCACGACACTGACAATTTCGGCTCAGGGGGCATTAGGGTCGGAACGCAGCGCTATTGCGTACTTGGCGCCTGCGAGACGGAGTGAGTCAAGCCGAAATGGCAAGTTGCTGGTTGAACTCACCATATATTGGACCTATAAACCATCCCGATAACAAGGCAGACAGTGCAGGAAGGTCGACCATAGTGGAGGACACCAAGTTTGACCGGGCAACGGGGCGAACAGAGGCGTCCGTGGCCGAAAGGAACCTCGTACTTCATATAGCATATCTTGAGCTCCCGCGCACTACACGTTGATCCTTGGGAACATTGATGTGACGTCCATCTGCTGAGATTGAAGCAAATTCTTGGCTCGGAAGGCGTTTGCTTAACCAAGTATGGGGAGGCGCAGCTGCGTGAGTAGTAAACGACTGAAGAAGGAAGACAACTACTCTTCTCTCGGGTAAAGCCAGCAAGAGTCTGCCACAGTTCGCCATCCAAACAGTTGCCGTTGGACAAAGCCGGGCGAGCTTCGTTCCCCGCGACACCTCGAGGCGCATAGCTCTACATGTTCTTTGGCAGATGTTGATATTCTGGGCGCGACAATTACAAGGCTGTATACTGGTTCTCAAGAACGCGAGAAGTTGGGGAGGCCGTGCGTAATGCGAAGATGATGATGAGAGACGCACACACACGATGGAACTAGGGGGCTCTCAGATAACCGCCCGAACTTCGAAGCCCTGCACTGCTCGCATGTGGCGCTGCATGTTCGCGCTAGCCCGACTACGGTCTCTCGATGGCTGGAGCTGCCTTGGAGGTAGCATTTAGCGTCCGCACTGAAATCTCAGTGAAGTCGTAAACTCACGCGCACAATGATAACCGTGGAAGAAATTGCAGGGCGGTCCACCGAGGTCGACACACAACTTCGTATCTCCGTACACGTATCGCGTGCGCGTGAAGAGGGCCAAGCCACGGCTTTTATACAGTCCGAGCCGTACCAGCATCGCGGGCTGACTAGCTTCCGGGGTGTGTAGTCAGGCTTCGGAGAACTGGATGCCAACTGGAGGGAGCCGCGAGGCGATGAGGCGGGAAGCGATAGCACCCGGGCTGATGACGATGACTGGAGGCGCGACCCTTCTCGTTGATCTCTACGCCCAAAGGATCAATGCCGCGTCATAACTTGTTTGGAGGGTTTCTATGCTGGGCGCCAGCTTGCTAGAGGGAAACATGTGCCCTTGAGCGGGTTCACATGAATTGTTCACATCTCGATGGAAGGTGGGCGTTCGGGTCAGAGCTGTACTCGCGGCGCGTCGCGGGATGTCCGAGATCGCCGTATACGCGTCACACGTGTTTGATCACACAACGATGCACTGCGGTTGGTTCAGGATCCCTTCATCATTGACCTGAGTATCGCAGAACGTGTAGTACAAGTATGGAAGGTATCAAGCGACGCTTCTAACTATCAACCGTGACCTGTCCATTAGGACCTCCCTCCCACCTCCCCGTTCAAGGGCGACACGGAGCTCGTTCTTAAGCATCTCAACATCCTCAAATACGAACTGCACGCGGCGTCGCGAGAGGTCAAGCCAGCCGACCTTATCCCCGAGTCGTGATAGTTCAAACAGGTGTTGTTCGCTGGGATGCTCGGCCCAGTCATCGAAGATGGCCACCGGAGTGTCGTTGCGTAGACCAGAAAAGCGTATCGATCGACCTGTAAACACCATAGTGCGCAAGGATGGTAGAACCAGGCCAGTGTGACCAGCTTCAAGGCCCTTCTGAGGAACATTTTGCCCTGCCCAAAGCGCTTCAAGAAGCTCGGAGTCCTGAACAACGTGTTTCCAAGATTTGGGGCGCATATAGAATACCTCCTCGACACAATTCAAGTAGCTTAGCAGCTCACGCCACTTCGGGGACGTGTACACGCTTGCTAGCCCCAGGGTCCGCACTTGCTTGAGTGTGATGAGTGACAACAAAGCTGGAAAGAGTTCCAGCGCGCGTGTCTTCGTCCTCTTTCTCGCCTTCTCGATCTCGAGCGTGACGACCACGAGCGGCTCGTCTGTTGGCGAACGACACAGTACGAGAGAAACCGCCTTCTGATCATGAGCCAGAAGTTCCGCATGCCGAGCATGTCGCGCGAGCGGCCGGATCACCGCCGCGAGGTCAACGGCAGTCTGGTGTATATCCTGAGCCCAGGATGTGTCTGATGCCCGGAACCGCATATGGAAGTGCTGGAGCGCGGGAAGCTCAAGGGCCAAGATAAAATCTCCTGTATTAGGCTGGGCTGCAAGACCAAGTGTCATCTCGCGCATATACTCCATCCTGAGTGGGAGATTTTCGCGCTGGAATGGTACCTCTGTCGCGAAAGCTGGACGTTTGGGCGCGATGCACACTAAGCGCTCCAGCTGCCCCAGGCAACGACAGAGTGAGCGTAGGCACCCCGTCTCGATGACTGAATGAATAACAAGGCTCGTCAGGCCGTCGAAGATCTCCGGGACATCGAAGATCCATTCCGGGATGGCAAGATGAGGACATGTAATGGTAAGGCGATGCACAGATTCGTAGAAGTACCAAGCAGCGAAGGGGAGCTCGAAAGTAAACTGAGACTCGTGCTGAGTGAGGGAGAGGGACCCCATATCCGGGCCCATGCTTTCGAGAAGGTGAAGCCAGTAGACTGAGTCTTCGTCGTCTTGAAATTCATGCTCTTGCAGGTCTTCGTTTCCCTCAGGAGTGGACCGCAGAATGACATCGATAGCATCTGCGTGAAAGGATAGTGTATTGACCCTTTTCTCCTGAAAGCGCGTCAACCTATGTTCTAGAGATATGACCGGGTGAAGTTTGGCGTATCCGGCGCGGGCAAGATGTGCATCGTAGCATCCGGAGGTGAAAAGAGGTGAAATGCGGGTCCACAACATTGGGTACCCCAGAGATGCGGCACGCCAGCGACCGCATACGTGGGGTATGGAGAGTGTCCACGACGGAACGCGGGCTTGGGAATACGAGCACGAAGCCCACTCCTCTCGAGCAACCAATTCGAAGATCCATAACAAGGTTTCATTGGGTAATTTCGATATACCTGGCGTAGTTGTACGGCCAGACGTTACGGAGTCCATCTGGGGATTGCACTGGAGGGGCAGGGCCGCGAATAAGAGCGCAATGTGGGTGAGATGAAGGTAGAAGCCAGTCGCCAACGAACCCGCTCGCCGCCCGTATTTAAAAGTGCGCGGTAAACACGATCACGTGCGTTACACGTCTTGCGTTCTCGCGGCCACAATGCTTTGCCTTTTTGGCAGTTCTCTCCCTCAACAATCGCCGGCAAGATAGTTATCCGTCGCAACGACATTCAGAGACTCCGAATGTGGCTCATCCAAAAGCTACATGTTCTGGTAACGGCTGAATCCTCCTGAGAGCAACCTAATGTGGGAGTACTAATACCTTCCTTCTGTACGGTCCACATGGGTACCGTTTTTGTTGTAGCCTGTGACAAAACTAGCATATGGCTAAATCATACAAACAAGATGTGCAATATATACATGGCGAGTGACCTTCCTAATACCTCCATCATCGATCAAGCCTCTTTCTTGGATACAATATGCGACCCAACCATCCGTACATCTCTTCCGCCTTCCCTGTTCAACATCTCAACAACCTTCTCCTCCATGCCTTCAACGTCCTCAAAGACATACTCCACGGCTCTTCTTCTATCGTCCAGTCGGCCAACAGTGTTGGCCAACCTCAATAGCTCGTATGAATGTGGCTCGTTTCGAGAAGCAGGCCACTCCTCGAAAACCGCAACAGCGCCGGGTTCGCGAAAGCCGGCGAAGCGGATAGGTCTCCGGGTGAAGCTGATCTTGCGCAGCGCAGGAAGGAGTAGATCCTCAGTCGCGTCTCCCGATGTGAGCGCGTACGGCTCCCATTGCTGTCCTGGCCACAGGGCACGGAACAGCTCGAACTTGTGCAGCTCTTGATGCGTGGGCTGCATGCACCACAAGTCTTCGACAGCCGTGAACGGCTTCAAGAGACTGCACCACTCTGACGCCTTGAACATCTCTTCCGGCGAGCTTGCGTCTGCGAGGCCGAGCGTACGCACGCTATCGAGCGCGATGAGCGGGTACAAACGCAAGAGGAGCGATGAAGTGTCCTCTGCGAGTCCAGCAGACTCTATCACAATGATCGCGTTGGGGATATCAACCGGTGACGGGCCGAGAAGGAGCGCGACCTCTTTCTCCTGGTGGACCAAGAACTCGACGTGCTTGGGCCGCGCCCATGGACGGAAGAGCGGTTTGAGGTCTTGGAATGTTTGTCGGATGCCTTTGTCGTCGGTAAAGCGGAAACGGAGATATAGGCGCTCGAGGACGGGTAACTCGAGGTTGCCCAGGAAGTTCTCCGACTCGGGTTGAGCGAAGGACTTGATTGTGAGCTCGCGCAGTGAGGACATGATGAGTGGGTTCTCGTCGCGCTTGTACGGTGCCGTGATGTGAAAGCCGGCGTCGCGTGAGAGAGGTGAGCCGTAGGTCAGCTGTTCCAGCTTTGTGGCGGTACGGCACACCGCGCGAAGAACACTGTAGCTCATGACGGCATGGATCGTCAGGCTTGTGAGGTTCTCGAATAGGTCGAACGCCCATCGGAGGTCTCCGAGACACGGGCAGGAGATGGTGAGATTGCGCAGGGAGCTGTGATCGTCGGGGAACGGAAGCGGGAGATCCAGCTGAGTTCCGGATTTGGGCTGGGTGATGCGTAGGGTGTGTAGCTTTGACGCTTCGTCGCCGAGACGATACAGAAGATAATCGTCGTCGTCGTCCACTTCCTCATCTTCGTCCTCTGGCGCTTGGCGGCCTGGTCTCAATATTATCTCCATCTCCTCAGAGAAAGAGGTCATCTCCGTCATCAGCTCGTCGTCGGGCAACTTCTCTTCATCCAGCAGAGAGACGGTGGCATGCAAGAACGTGTCCATGGATCTCTCCGCGAACTCGTCGTACCAGAACGTGCTGAATGACGGGGACACACGGGTCCATAGCGTCGTGCTACCTAGAGCCAGGGTACGCCACCGGCTACAGACATGCGGTATTGACATCGCCCATGCCGGCGCGAGTGTTCGGGCAAACGCGTCGCTTTCGGACTCTTCGCGAGCGACGTGAGAGAAGACGCGCAGAAGTATCTCATTGGGCAGCGCGAGTATTCCTTTGATAGACGTTTCCGTAGACATCGCAAGGTTGATCGCGAGCAAGCGTCAGAAAGATATCGGAGTTATGGGTGCCGGCGATAGCTGTTGGCGGAAAGTGGCAAGATGTGCGGGCGCCTGATGCGCGTCGCGCGTCATCGACGCGTCTTGCCTTTGACCATCATCATATTCTTTGACTGTTGATATCCTAGGCTATACGCAGCTATCTAGCCTGTGAAGCTATGGACCGCAAATGCATCGTACTCCTGCTATGTTGGAAGTAGGCTCTGTCTTCAAGCATCTATCCATAAAGGTCGTCATTATCTACATCTGAACCTCGCGCGTGAGGGCGCTCGTGTGGCGCAGGCATGCCGGTCCGGCGTTGGTCGGTGGTTGAGGCCATCTTGTTCAGCGGTCGACTTGTAGAGGATTTCGGGTTATTCTTGAGCCCAGCCCTATATCGCAGTCTATGTGCGAGCCCCGAGTCGGTTTCCCCTCATCCTGCGATTGATACGCCATGGCACCACCGTCGTTTGGCAGTGGGTGCCAGCATCCCGTGCACAAATATTGCACGGGTTGCTAGACAGGGTATTGGCTGCGCAGCATGAAACATGGCCGTGCAAGTCGGCACTATGTGTTGCTCGCGCGGAGGATCCTCCCTCGCACGCACGACGTCGACGCACAATCTCTCTGATTTATTCGACGTTGAACGGAGGGCGGCATCGATCTATCGGACCCCCGTTCCGCAGCTAATCCGTCCTTTGCATACGCCGGGTTGCACCAACGGGAGGCAAACAAACACTAGCCGGCGGACCAATGTGAGAGGTTGGGCAAACGGGGTGGCGTAGGAGAACCTCTGCATGCAGTCGCGACTGCTGTACCGAGGCCTGTCACTGGCGCAATGCTGCTAGCTTCATAGCCTCAAGGCAGCATAGGCTGATCAAGATAGATGCTCAGCATAGGTAATGGTCTAGACGTCTAAACACGGCGGCCAGGATTAGTCTGCGTGGAAGGTAGTCGGAGTTCCCTTTCTTCGACGTGACATGGTTTTATCAGGCATTTCATGAGCAGCTTATGTGTGAACCTTGACTGCGTCTCGCGCGGGCCGCTCAAAAACGACAGGGAAGAAACCATGCGCTGAGCGCTGTGGCGCGACGACGACAGACGGCGAGGCTCCAAGATGAAGCTGCATGATACTCCCTTCGTCAAGTACGAACCCATACACGCAGCGATGCAGAAAGTTATCCAGTAAATTAGATCTCGCAGTGCACAACCTTGGTACATCGATTACGACGCATGGGTGACATCCATGCATTAGACCGTCAGAAAGTCTTCATTTGCGGCGTGCGGCTCAGCGCAGGTCTCGAGGCCGAATTTGGTTTGATTGAGGGCGGCGGCCCGGGCGGCTGCTTGCTTTGTTGTCAGTCGGGTTTCCCGCCGGATGTTGCCCGAGACGACATGGGAGGGCGCGTCGAATATATTCTGGCGGCGCGAAGCATAGCATTTGTGCCGGATAAGGCAAGCGGCGGCCTTGGCTGGTTGTAAAGTGGTTGGGTTCTGTCTGCCGTCGGGAGGGAGGACTGATGGGAGTGTAGTCGGAAGCCACACGTGCCTCGTGCCCATTGTCCTCTATCGAGATGGTTTCCCAGACACGCGGCGGCGCACTTCCAGATCGTTCATAAAGAGCGCCGTGTCGTGCTTCGGGCAATGATCAGCCCGACCCTCGCCTTTGCCTTTGAACGTGCATGATGCTCCGGAAGATGACGGACAGGATCAACGGCGCGCTGCACTCGCCCAAGCGTGATGCCTTCTCCGTCCAACAACAACAACAACAACAACAATTCCCGGTGGCGCCTCCCACCCCGACAGACTCGCTCGCCACCACCCTCTCAGTGACGAACACCCACCGACCGTCGATCTCGACCCAGCGCACCTCATTGTCTGAGGCCGAGAGCTCCAAGCAGGCGCTGCACTCGGACTACGAGCGCGACGTCGCAATGCACGACGCCAACCCGCCGTTCCCGTATCCGAAACGGGACAAGGGCCGCTACCGCTTTGTCGACTTTGAGTTTATGCGTACACTCGGCACTGGATCCTTTGGCCGCGTACATCTCGGTACGTTCGTGTCGATTATAGGCGCGAGCCTCTCTCATCCCGAGCGCTAGTACGCAGCCGGCACAACGAGCGCTTCTACGCCATCAAAGTCCTCAACAAGGGAAAGATCGTTCTAAATAAGCAGATCGACCACACCAACAACGAGATGAACATGCTGCTCGCCGTCCAGCACCCGTTCATCGTCAATCTCTGGGGCACCTTCCAGGATGCAACAAACCTGTATATGGTCATGGATTTCGTTCCCGGTGGCGAGCTCTTCTCGCTATTACGACGTTCGAACGTGCGTATCATCACGCAGTCTCCGTCATGATAACAGATTGTGCTAATCTTAGTCCTTGCGATCGTTATAGCGCTTCCCAGAACCAGTAGCCAAGTTCTACGCCGCAGAAGTCGCACTCGCGCTCAACCACCTCCATACCCTCGACATCGTCTACCGCGACCTGAAGCCCGAGAACATCCTCCTCGCACGTGACGGACACATCAAGATCGCCGACTTCGGCTTTGCGAAATACGTGCCAACAGTGACATGGACGTTGTGCGGTACTCCGGACTATCTCGCTCCGGAGGTCGTGAACCAGCGGCGGTACAACAAGTCCGTCGACTGGTACGCATTGGGGATCTTGGTCTTTGAGATGCTTACGGGACTACCACCGTTTCATCGTACGGAGGCCGGAGAGAACACTCCCATGGCGCTATACGCGAGGATACAGGACGGCGAGCGCGCGATCCGATGGCCGGCCCAATTTCCTCCCCTCGCCAAAGACATCGTGCTACGCTTCCTCGAGCAAGACCCATCAAAACGATTCGGAAACTTGCACAACGGCGCTGGCGATGTGTTCGGCCATGCTTGGTTCCGCGAGGTCGACTGGGCGAGGTTAAGGGCGCGCGAGATCACTGCGCCCTTTGTGCCAAAGGTGACGAGCCCGGGAGATGCGAGGGCGTTTGAGTCGTACGACGAGGCCAATGCCGCTGCACGATACAACAACGAGCACGCTTATGATGCGCATGGGCACTTGTTCCCCGACTTCGACTACACTGCAGATGCGGCACCCGCACCCGCACCACGGTTATACTAGGGCGTACACTACGGCTATTTCGTCTCGCGCCAGTCTTATGCCCTTCTACTATGCATTCACCCTCACGCCCCTCACGAAAACATCGCGCGCTTACACCCTCCTCTACGCTCGCGCATATCCCCCGGAAGCTTCTCGTTGTATATATCCCTCCTATACACCCCGCTCTCGCTTCCGCGTTCAACCATGTATATTTATCCCTCTACGTATACGGACTCCTCGGACCCTCTCATCGTTCATCGCACCAATATCCACCCATCCTCGTCGAGTCCACCCTTGCTGTCGCATCAACACCCGGAACGCCGTACTACTACTGTTTGTCTTTTGTTCTTTCCAAGCTTTCCTCATTCTGAAGTTGTTCGTCATCTGGCTGTCCAATGTAGAGTCTAGCATGCGATACTACCCCGTTGTCTATGACGCTTGTGTCTGCGGGCGAAGGACAACATCAAACGCCGCTATTGTTCGCAGCCGGAGAACGAACGCCGAGTGGCGCCTATCGGGATGTCGGCCCGAACCCCGTAGCCCCTATTTCCCTTCAAGCGGACTATTTACTTGCTCTTGCTTTGGCAGGCAGGTAGCGACGAGCTCGCGCACACAATCCATCTTCGACGACTACATCCGACTGGCGCACCGACATTGTAGAGGACCAAGGAGTCCAGCATCCGAGGTCCGGTCAGACCCTTCCGGGCGAAGAGCGCGAGACTAAGGCCGCTGCGCGACGAGCACAGGCAAAGTCGAGGTACGCGATATCTTCACGTCGGAAGAGCCATTCCTCACTCTCTGCCGGCACAGGCAGAAGACGCTCATCTCGATGCTGAGAGTACATGATTATATTTGCCACATCTGTCAACTACCATACGCGTGCACGTCGGTATGATCATGGCATTCCTCACCGCGTGAAAGGTACAGGACGTCGACACTTTGAACTTCAGCGCGTCAGCGATCATAACGGATGCGGGAGAAGGCTGATGTTGAGAATGTGACGGAAGGTGTGGACCTTGGAATGATAAGCGTAGAGCTGGCAGGGACAGGTACGAGAAGTGAGGGAATGGGAGGCTCACGCCCAGCAAACTTGTGGGATTCACCGGAGAGTAGCCGCATGGGCGTAAGCTCGGTGTCTCATCGAGTAGCCACGTATAGCGGTAGCGTCGCTGAGCTGCCTTTGAGTACTTCTCCTGATGGTCGTTGAGAAGGTGGTCCCACCAAGAAGCCCGCGCGCGAGCTCGGGAGAGATGTCAATGTCGCAGGCTATTCGAGAGACGGACCCGGAGGGTATTCGATAGAGTGGTGCAGTCGACCTCATACAGATACCCCAGACATTTATGGTATGAGTAAGCAGCGGAACTCCGGGTCAGGAGAGCTATCAGAAGACGAAGGTCCTATGGAAGTAGTGAACTTTACATATGAACATGTCTAGAGCTGAACCTACATGCGCCAGCCGCTCATGTATAGCCGTGAACATATGAACGTGTAGTTGCAAGACCAGTCTCTCAGAAGTATACCTTTCCGCAGAAGCGCGCCTTGCGCTACTCCTCATATATTCATATTGAGCGCCTTTGCCCTCAGAAAATTGGCTATGGCTCATGTTATAGCCTGGCAGGGAGAGGTCGCGATGACCTTGACATAGGTGCGACTCGATAGGCTAAAGGGCCTCGATGTACTCATCACATCGGCTTCATCGATCCAGCGGGATGATAAGGGGGAAGCATTGAAGGCGGGCAGGATGGAGAGGATGCAGGATCCTCGGTACAAATATTGTACAGCACCTTCATCTTGTTCGCATCTCGAGTCCATCGGGAAGACGCTGCTTCGGAGATGAAAGCCGTTCATTATAGCACATGCGGCTTCGCGTGTATGAGGAGGGTCTCCGAAGCGTATGAATACGGTACCCTTGGGCATAGTTCTCAGTGGACGCAGGAAGGAAGAGAAGTCGGGCAAATGGTGCTGCCTAGAATAATCGTGCGAATGATCTAGTGATGGCCGGGGGCGCCGAGCTCGGAGCCGGCCGTCGGTTGTCGGCGACGAGCACAACGGCGGAGCCACGACGTACCGTTTGAACTCCCGCCTGCGTGACAGAGCGTGCTTTCTTCTACACAATCACTGCTGTGTATCTCCTGGGTCTGGCTTCGTGGCTTCTAGGGTTGATGCAACCTGCGCATGCCTCTCGAGAAGCAGTTGTTCCGAGAACGTCACCGGGTTCACATGGTACGCAGCTTACATGCTGCTTACACCGAGTAGTCTACAAACCGCGAGGGCTTCTAGCGCTCATGTCTATCTCCTCCTCATGCGGCGGCCCGCGTCGAAAACTATATGATCCAGCATGCGCGATCTCGGCCACCCTCGAGTGTGTGCTCCATGATATTGGATTGGATTCAAGGACAACCGCATGACATTATTCGACACACATGAGCGACTTCGAGGCGCTATCGCTGTATCCCGAGCTGTATCCTGCTGTAGCCAGGTCGCGGACTTCACTCCCCGAGCGCGAGGCAGCGGGAATTCTACCTGATTCGCGTCTCCGGGAGGAATGTCCTACGGATACCGACACGGCATCCACCCTTCGCGCGATGGTTTGCCTGCGAGTCCATGGTCCCATCGACAAATAGCTTGTCAATATTCAATGCCAGCTCAGGCCGACAAGCGACGATGGCTCAGTTACGCTCTATGAGCGGATCCGAAAGGGCTCGTAGTTTGTCCAAAGCCGACTCGAGGTTGAACCGTCAAGCAAGGCTTCTCGAGATCATCAATACTCTCACCAACAGCATGGACTTTTCCCATCGCGCAGTCGTGCCGCTTCTGGGAAAAGCGTGACGACGACGGGAGATCATGAACCCTTGACGGCGAATCATGCGGAGGACGCTGAGCGTCACCCTGGCCATACATTAAGCCGCAGACGTATTATGCACCTTGTGCGGCCGCCTGAACGCTCTTTGCCCCTCGTTTACCGGTGTGTGCGGCGTGTCCGCTGTCGGGTTTGCTCTCGATCGGCTTGTGCCTGCCAGTTCGAATGCCATGGCCGTCGTGCCAGATGCCACGCTTGAATCACTCAGTCAGATGTGAGCGCATACCTTGATCGTGCATCGGATGACGTCTGGGAGCTGACTGCGTTTCCTCCAGCGTGGCGGGAAAGGTAATCTACGAGCGCTGGTCCGGAGATCGGTCCGCCGCTGACGCTCCTATAGTACTTTTTCGCCGCGGCAATGACAATGCTCTTCTATGACCACCTCATCACGTTTCCCTTGGAGGCAAGCGCAGAACAATTTAGGGATTCAATCCTCTGGCTGAATATGTACTATAGGTTCAGGTCATATGGAAGCGCCCAAAGACGGTTAGTGTAATCCGCCAGCCTCATGGCATTCTTCTCCCGTGCTTATGGTGCGGATATGCAGTATCTGAGCTTCTTGTTCATCCTGGTGAGTACGTCTCCGTTCATGGGCAAGAGAGACTGGCTAAGACAAGCGTAGGTTCGATACTATGCTCTTCTGGCTGTGAGCGTCGTCGCATTTGGTTCGTACAGGTGTTGAAACAGTCAATGGGTCAAGAATTGATCGCGCTCGACCATTAGCGTATTTCTCCACCACGATGACCCGGGAAAGGTGTGATATATTGCGGCGGCACTGTATCAAGATACTCATTCGCACACAGGTGTGGCCACTGGATGTTGTTCCTCCCGTTGGGTTTGTGAACAGAATCATAACGCGCGCAGGTTATCTAACGAGCGCTAGGTGTGACGATGCCTCTGGCACTTCTTCCCGGAATCCTGATGAGCATCCGGTGCGTGTTACCCCTAGCTCTCACGCCTATGAATCCCACTGACCTGCCACCGCAGTGTGTATGCTCTGTATAATCGTAACATCTGGATTCTCGGGTGGCTCTTGTTATATTTGGCTGCACAGACCGGAGCGGGTCTGTGGCAGTACACCGTCCGAGGTGGCACGCCTGCGCCGGACCCGCTCCCGAATGACCATAACTTTCATTGTGAGTGCCACAACCTCCACTCATACATCATTACTCACAGCACATCCAGTCTGTATCTACCTTCCTCCCAAGAAGATGTGAGTTGCCTACCGCGCCTGTACAGTGATATAGCACTAACGTCTCCGCAGTGGGCACCTCTCGACCATGTATGTTTTCATGGAGGTTCGCTGCGACTCATTGATTTGGATATCGACAAGTCTCCTAATCCCCCGTGTAGCTATGCTTTGATAGCATGGTTTTCCTTCTCACTGTCGCTCGAACAACATACATCCACTGGAATCAGCGCAGGAAGTTCGCCGCCTCAGCCGCCTCACGCTGGGGAAAGCAGAAGGAGCCCTCCTCGCTCCTCTTGTCTCTATTCCGTGACGGAGCTTTCTACTTCGGGTACGTCTTCTCACCTGAATTCATCGACGACCTCTCAGCAGAGTCTTTGATCACAGCGTGATATTCTCGATTAACCTGGTCTGGGTGAGCTCCGCTTGTTGACGAGACGCCTATGACACGATGTCTTAACGGGGTACAGGTTATCATGATCTTGCATGCCCCGACGGGACTTCGAGCCATCGCCTCAGTGTGAGTACCCAATTGCTGTTGCTGTTGTGGCGTAACTCACGGACATCATAGACCCTCAGGATGGTGCGTTGATCGCGAGGCTATCCCTTTGTTCCGATACTCACGTCGACTAGCTTCATCACCACCATGATCTCCAGGATCACACTCAACCTCCGCTCTACAGCATACGGACCCGCAAATCTGGACGAGCGAACTGGGGTGGCTACGGTGGGTCTCACGGTGTCTATGCCGTTGTCGGATATGCAGAGGACGCCGCGCGGCGAGAGCTTCACGTCCGCTACTGCCCATATCGTCACTACGGTGTATAACGACGAAGGCGAGCTGCAAGATGATGTGGAGACACCACACAGCGCTCTTCCCTTCTTCAACGGGAATGGGTACGGGAACGACCCGTTTGGGCCAAGAGCAGTGTAGGATGATATATTGGGTGTACGATGTATGCTATGGCGTTGCGGACTGGGCTAGATCTGTAGTTGATACCCTCCACTGGGACTCGGAAGTCCATTTCCTGTATCCATACGGGTTTCGTTTGTTCAGGATGACGGACCTCGTATACAGCCGAGCTGCGCGCTTACAGTAATATCTCGGCTTTGACTTGTGCCTCAAAGTTCAGATGCTGGGAATGGCCTCCCATCTCAGCCCATCTCCTTCAGGACGTGCCTCGGAGAAGAGCAAGTGGGCGTCGCGGATGCGGCAGCGTGAGGAAATTCCTGGCCTCCCATGGTCATATGCAGGGCGCTCGACACCGTTCTTCAACATGCTATAAAGTAAGAAGAGCGTCGATGAAACGATAGTCAAGTGTGCGGTGCGTACGCGGCGGCGAGCGTGTGTCCGGCGGCGCGCGACAGGCATGAATGGAAAGAAGCAGCTTGCGGAAGACCACGAGGACCTCGAAGATGGCATCTCAAAATGCTTGATCACTCTCGCTGGTGGCACTTTCATGCAAGGCTCCCGTACAGCTCTCAAAGTGCTGAAGCCACTGCTACTCGTACGGAGAACTCGGTCCGTTGCATCCGTTGACGCTCGGCTGACGCCCGCGAAGAGCTGCGAAGCCGAATAAACGGGCCATCGGACTATCGGAGAAGACCTGGTCTTGGGACGAGCCGAGAGCCCTGGCCATCAAAGTTACGTTTTCCCGTGACGGCCACAGACCTGATTCTTGCGTTGTCGGCCTCTGTTCGCGCCCGCATCTGCGCCTTTCCATCTGCGTACTTGTACGTTCAAGACATCGGCGTAGAAGCCCTGCGGATAGACCGTGCTGCGTGCAAGACTTCTCGCTAATCCGTGGCACATGCCCGTCCCGGAAGTCATGCTGTTGTGCCCTGATTCCAGATGCACTCCTCTGCGCGAATGCCCTCATAAAGACTGACATCGTTCGCTCGCGTCCGATCACCGACTGCCCTCCTACTGCCGCTCCCCATTTTCCTGAGCATCGACCACGACCATGTCGGTCACGGTCCCCCATCTTACGGCGCCGGCATCGGGCAAATCGTCCAGTGACGCCGAGTCAATGCGCAAGGTTGAGGTCAACTCGGACGCTGATACCGTCTCACTCGCCGACCCGGCACTCGTGCGTTCGGCAAAGTGGAAGATGGACTTGGTCGTGATACCGCTTGTCGGCATGTACTGTGAGTGCCTTACGCTGCTACACGACTTTCAGTCACTTATAGACCACAGATCTGTTGTCATTCTTGGTGAGGATGGGATGTCTTTCTCGCGGTGAGGCGGACGGCTGATCGCTTCGTTATCAGGATCGTTCAAATATCGGAAATGCAAGGATCGCCGGCTTAACAAAGGACCTCGATATGTCGACCCATGACTTCAGTGTGGCGCTCACCATCACATAGTAGGCAGACTTTTCAGCTTTCACCTACACACGCCGGAGATTCACTTTACTACAGCGTGCCGTATATTCTCATGGAGCTCCCCATGAACTTGCTCATGAAGAAGCTCGGTCCGAACATTACACTTCCTGTCATGGTCACCTTGTGGGGCATGGTAACTGCTTGCCAGGGGGCCGTCAAGTCGTATGGTGGTCTATTGGCTTGCCGATTCTTCTTGGGCGCGCTTGAGGGAGGGTAAGTCGGACTTGATCCGATACTGTCAGCAATCGTACTCACGCTCATGTAGGTTATTCCCCGGCATCACTCTTTACCTATCTTCCTTCTACCGGAGGCATGACATGCAACTGCGCTTCTCCATGATGTTCAGCGCGGCTTCGCTCGCGGGAGCCTTTTCGGGTCTTTTGGCAGCTGCCATTGAGAAAATGGCCGGGGATAGGAATATCGCTGGATGGGCGTGGATCTTCATCCTGGTGAGAATCCTGTGGAATATCTTCCAAGCTTGTTCTGACACCTCTCGACGCAAACAGGAGGGCGTCTTCACTACCATCTTTGGCATAGCATCGTACTTCATCATCCCGGATAGCCCGAACAACGTCAAGCTTCTCACTCAAGCGGAGCGCGAGGCATACGTGCAATCGCTTGCGCAGGACTGGAGCGGCGATGCCGATGCGGACGGCAAGGAGGCCGAGGTATTCTCTTGGTCGGAGGTGGCGTCAGTCTTCACCAATGCGCCTCATGTCATGCTTCTTTCACTCCCTCTGTTCTTCAGCGGCATCACTGTGAGTATCCTCGATCGTGGCTCTGATCTCAACTAATGGCTTCGTTTTCAGCTTTACGGCTTGGCAAATTTCACCCCGACTATCGTGGGGGCGTTGGGCTACTCTACCACGCGCACGCAACTCTTGACCGTCCCCCCATACGCCTGCTCATTCGTACTCAGTCTGTTGATCGCTTGGGTCTCAGATCGATACAAGCAACGCGGCGCATTCGCCATCTTCAGCTCCCTTCTTGCTGCAGTCGGATACGCCATCTTCCTCGGTACCAGCAGCAAACACGCCGACTATGGCGCGCTCTTCCTCCAGATCATCGGTGTCTACACTCTCGCCCCGTGTATCTCCACCTGGAATGCGAACAACGTCCAGCCTCACTTCCGCCGCGCAACTGCTATCGCTTGGGCCTTCACGGCGACGAACACCGGCGGCATCGTCTCGACGTGGATCTTCACCGATGCCCCGCGCTTCCACAAGGCATCGAGCATCAACCTTGCCTTCTCATTGGCTGGCGCAGTCATGGCGCTCGTGGTCATGCTGTACCTCATCCACGCCAACAGGCAGAAGCGCGCAGAGGTCGCCCGCCTTGAACGTGAGCAGCCCGGGGGCGTCTGGGACTCGCGTGCCGAGCGTCGCCGTCTCGGCGACCGCCATCCACGCTTTGAATTCACTCTTTAGATCGCTCTCACTGTAATACCTACGAATACCCTCTTCCAGTGTAATTTGTAACCTGTCTTGTGTCGACCCGTCACAATACCTATATCTGCTGGAAATTCGTGAGACACAGCCGGTGCATGAGTTGCTCGTTCAAGACCACCGAGTCGTGCCTGCAACATGATCTCGAGGCTTTTGGCGAAGACAAGAGACCGCGAATGACTCTATGTAAACTCGTTGCTAGGCGGTATAGGTGATACTGGGATACCATCGGCGAGAACCCGGCCCCGACTCTACACGTATCTATCACCCCAATCTGCCTGCCTCATTTATGATATCGGATATTGATTAAGTTAGCATTATGACGGTCGTCAAAAACAATCCTTCGAACCGGGATCGAACCAGTGACCTCGGGATGACAGGATAACCATTACAGTCCCACGCTCTTCCAACTGAGCTATCGAAGGCTTGATCAATTTTTACTTGTAGTAGTCTATATTGATATTACCAGAGCGCCTGACCCATTGCCACAACCACTTAACTTGACGGAGTACATACTGCCTTGAGGAGTAGTCATTGAGGTGTACAAGGTTTGGACAGTCAAAGAAACAACAAGCCCGCGTGGTATAACGTAGCAGTCCATGAGAAGCATGGAATGGGCATGGCGTAGAGTTACAGGGTCTACGAGAAGCTGAATCGACTGGCTGGACCTGAACCCCGACGTAGGGCACCCTTCTCTGCGTTCGAGGAGTAATACTCCGAACGCGACCCGAGTGACAAATCTAAGTTGGCCGCGACAGCGGCGGACGACTCCCAGTTCGATATGCTGAGGATGCTATTGCGCGATGACGGTGCAGGGAACATCTTGTGTTGTAGATAGGAGAGAATCGGTCTGCATCTCGAGTGTGAGTCTTGGCAATGTGTGAGTAGTTAAGTGAGACGTACGTGAGCGCCAGTGAAACTCCCAACGTGATCTGTGTCGTCAATGGAGGTGCGTAGGATAGTGCAGCGATGGCCTTCACAAAAGTCAGTACGCGATGATAAATTTCAGACAGATGAGCTCACATCGATATGTGAAGAGTTCCCGTCGAATAGGATGCGAAGGCCCACACTCATGGAAGTCGTCGTGTGTAGTAGGAGATCCACTGCGAGTGCAATGAGGAAGGTCCCAGTGGATGTGACGCCGAATAGCTATGCGGAAATCAGCGTCACTCGTACTCAATATTCATGCACGAAGAATGTACCGTGCCAATCCTTGGCCTCCAGATCACTAGCGCCAGACTTGGCGGAACCATGACGGCAACGAGGACCCAGTTGATAGCAAAGAGGGGGATGAGGAGGTCATCCTTCAAGAGAACGATGCGGAGACCAAACGCGATTCCACCGAGCAGGCTCAGCAACACTATTCCGCCGATGCGCATGAAGGAGAACAAGCCGAGTGCGAATCCTCCGCCCATGAGTCCGCAGACGATTAAGGTGAGCAGAGTATCGCTGATGCCAGGTGCAGTCGTCGTATTGATTAATCCGGCCCACGCTGTATGAGGCCATCATCAGGGAGTGTATGGTGACATGCTCCGAGCCACGCACCAGATACGCCCAAAGCTAGAGCGATCCCGACCGCCTGCGATATCCTCCATTGACATAAACGTAATCCAGCGACGATGAGAGGTAAACCGATGGCGATAGAGAAGGAGACCCAGATTAACGCGGGCAGTGACGTGCGCGAGCCATCGCCTGCACCATCTGTGGCTGGTGATTGTGTTACAGAGTTGGAGTCGCCCGGAGATGTTGACATAGAACAACAGAGGAGACGAGTAAAGACAGCTTGACTGAGCGCCTAGTGCGCCAGACGTGATAGGATGGAAGTCGCGAACGACGAGTATGAAGCGCCGCCAGGGGGCCAAAGGAAGGGAATGTAGCACTGCTACGGCAGGCTTAGTGAAGTAGTGAGCGAAGTGGCCCCTCGAGCGCCAGAGCAAGGGAACGGTCGTGGAGGGAGAAGACCTGGAGAGGTTGGACGAGGCTCGCACGGCTTTGGTAGAAGCACGCGCACCGAGGGACGACCGAAATCGCCGTGTAACCGTAGTGACGAGGTGTCCCTTATCATTGTCTACGCTTCTGTTCTTCCGCGACTCAAATCGGGTTATTTCTGCGGTTAATTGTGATGCGCGTCAGGAATGCGGAGACCGGACAAGGATAGTGCACGCGCGCCCGTGCGCGTAAGAATGGAAGGGACGGGGCCAGCAGCGACTGCTTGAAGGCATCGATCAGGTCGTCTACTTAGGTCGGCGACAATGTAGCAACGGGCACACAGTCAGGTACGCGAGAACGTACCAAAAAGAACGAGGAACGTGTCGGTGTGGCACGTCTGAATTCGCCAGCTTATTCTGTGCGGCTGCCAACAGCACGTTTGCAGGCGCCTCGATAGCTCGTATCTGCCGCATCTCTAGGTTATTTCAGCGTTCTCCGCGTTATGGTTGACAGAGGAGGTCCTAAAAGCGGTCTCGAGGATCATCGTTGTTGCTAGGAGACTGGCGCGGCGATGGCCGATTCGGCTCAGACGCGCGCTCGGGATCCAACGCATCCCGACTTCGACTTCCATCGGCCATCGTGCTCGTCCTACCTACCAGCGCAGAACACGACCTCATAACCTCGACTCGACGCGCCCATCCACTTCTACTCGTCAACCGCCCTCGTCTCGTTACTCTAGCGCTCACTTGTTGAATTCTCTCACTGTCGACGCGCTTCCTCCGTGCGCTAGGCGCGCTCTATACCAGCGTTTTCGATACTCCCGTTCTCACCCCTCATCCAGCCATCCACCATGCGTACTGAGACGATGCCAGCCCATCAATGCATACATAGTCATGGACAGTCTACATGTGTACATCAATATATCAATTACACCGAAAAGCAGGTTCCAGCCCCTGTATCGGAGTTGAACGTTGATCGCCCATTACAATTTATGCGGCAACTTGCCTCTTCCTAGCGAGCGCGTTGGTGGAGGTTGTGCGACAGCTTACTCAACTGTCCATACGGTGTATGTTATGTTGTGTGACATGGTCGGAGCATAGTTCCGCGCCGCTGCCGCAACAGGAAACCTTCTCGCCTATAAGTCACAGCGCTTATCTGCGTCCATGCGTACAACCCTCGAGCGGCCCGTCATGGGATGTAGTTGCCTATATCGATTTTACCCAGACTTGCCCGTTTGCGAGCTGCCCCATGAAGTTTGCAAATGCTACTGGCGCCTTTGGCGAGTATGCTAGTCTCCGTTCGCCGTTCCATTTTCAAGTCCTACTCCCAACCATGACCATGGCGGACACTGGACATCGTTCTTCGCATCCCGCTCTGGGGAACCTGCCGTCCAGCGATGCTGAATCGTCACGGAAGAGCGAGATGGGGCTTGAGGGGGATATCGACGTGGTGTCCGTTAACCCGGCGCTCGTGCGTTCAGCACAGTGGAAGATAGACTTGGTCGTGATCCCATTGGTCACAATGTACTGTGCGTGAATAGTAGTCACACAATGAGTTTTATGAGTCCGCTCATGACATACAGATCTTCTCGCATTTCTGGTGCGCATGAGCCTCTCTTATTGGCATAGCGAGCGTCAACTCACGCTGTATTGTAGGACCGCACCAATATAGGCAACGCGAGAGTTGCTGGGTTGACTAGAGATCTGAACATGTCATCCCATGACTTCAGCGTAGCACTGACCATCACATAGTGAGTAGGGTCTGAGAACTGGTATCAGACATTGCATTGACTCTACTGAAGCGTGCCATACATTCTCATGGAGCTACCCATGAACTTGCTCATGAAGAAGCTCGGTCCAAATATCACACTGCCTCTCATGGTCACGTTATGGGGAATGGCCACTGCGTGTCAGGGTGCCGCCAAGTCGTACGGAGGTTTATTAGCATGTCGCTTCTTCTTGGGTGCACTCGAAGGCGGGTAAGTCGCCTCTCCGTGGATGTCGAGGTCGCCGGTTCTCAGCCTTTGCAGCATACTTCCCGGAATCACTCTCTACATTTCATCCTTCTACCGAAGGCATGACATGCAGTTGCGCTTCGCCATGGTGTTCAGTGCTACTTCACTCGCCGGCGCATTCTCTGGTCTGCTGGCTGCCGCGATAGAGAATCTGACTGGAGATAGGAACCTCGCTGGTTGGGCGTGGATCTTCATACTGGTAAGTGCTGGTGCACATTCCAGACCCGCATGGTCTACTCTAACACCTCTCGGCGCTCACAGGAAGGCGTCTTTACTTCAGTGTTCGGGATAGTCTCATACTTCATCCTCCCCATCGCTCCTCACGATGCCAAGTTCTTGTCTTTGCCTGAGCGGGAGGCATATGTTCAAGCACTCGTGCAGGACTGGAGCGGTGACGCCGACGAGGATGGCGAAGAAGTCGAAATGTTCTCGTGGTCGGAGGTAACTTCGGTGTTCACGAATGCGCCGCATGTCCTGCTCATATGGCTCCCGCTCTGCTTCAACGGTCTCACGGTGAGCTAGGTTCAGCCCATGTATGCAACCGTGCTGAAGCGCCATCAAATACAGCTGTTCGGACTCGCCAACTTCACGCCGACCGTTGTCGGGGCTTTCGGGTATTCCACCATCCGCACACAGTTGCTAACAGTTCCTCCATATGCGTGCTCTTTCGTGGTCAGCCTATTGGCCGCAAGGTACTCGGACAAGTACAAGCAACGCGGAGCATTCGCCATTTTAGGCGCCCTCATCTCTGCGGCCGGTTTCGCTATCTTCCTCGCCACAGGGAACAAACATGCCGGCTACGGTGCTCTATTCCTCCAGATCATCGGCACCTTCACCTCAGCGCCTTGCATCGGAACCCTGCTCGCAAACAACGTCCAGCCTCACTACCGCCGAGCTTCTGCCATCGCCGTGACTTTCCTGGCCACGAATATAGGTGGCATCGTGTCCACGTGGATATTCGTTGATCCTCCTCGCTTTCACGTTGCGTCTAGCGTCAACCTCGCCGTTACGCTCGCTGGCGCTGCAATAATTGGGGTGCTGATGGTCCATCTGAGCCTCGCCAATGGGCGCAAGCGGGAAGAGATTGTTTGCCTAGAGCGCGAGCAGCCTGATGGGGCCTGGAACACGCGCGCCGAGCGACGGCGCCTCGGAGATCGCCACCCTCACTTCAGGTTTACTTTGTAGACTATGTATATGACATCCGCTATGTCAAATTCATGTGATGAGTGTGAGTTGAGTTCGCGATTTTCAGAAGAGAGTTGTGCCTAGTCGGGGGTCGATTACAAATTGATTGAAACACCAACGTGAAGAGGTGCGCGAGATGGAAGATACACTTGGAGAGTACTTCGGGTATAGTATATGTTTCAGACGCGAGCAGGTAGTTTACCCCAGACGAGCAGATAGAGAGTGCGAGGGTCTATCATCCGGCACGGACATCGTGGGCAGTCTGTGAGAAGTTGTTGATGAACAAAGCCGCGCATGAACAGCAGGCGTGGGACACACGCGCACCCATCCGCGCTCCGCGATGGCGGCAATGTTCTCTTCAGCCCACGACCGTCTCGAGCGACCATTGCACTCTGTTATACCTCGCGCTGGGATATACGCAATTCTGTCTAGTTCTAGACGCAAGTCCGAGTCCATTTCGCCCGGTATTCGTCGAGATCGCTCGTGGGATGCTCGTTGCTGAGCAAACATGTCTGCTCCTGGGGCGCACAAGTCAGGTCTCCGCATAAATACGGGACCCTCCGGCTCTACTACACCGGAGGTCATTGCGCGAGAACGGGACACACTCTTGAAGACGAAACAAGCAGAACTCGATCAATTATTTGACCGGCATGACGACCTGGTACGTTCGACTTTTCGCTCTCGCGTAACATCCGGCTTATTCCGACATATACAGGTCAGAGAGAAGTTCCATCTAGACCGCTTTGTGACGCTAGTGTCTTATAATCACGAGGTGCGCCCTTACATCATGAAAGGAAGTCTGCCTGGAATTGACATTCGAATCGCTGTAAAGGAAGCCAAAGCGGATACGTCCGAAGTCTGGCAGAAGGTATGTTCCCCGTTTGACATGCGCGACAAGCCGTCTCATTCTTGAATAGTGGAAACAAGAAAAAGGACACGACCTGTTGCAAGATGCACCGGCCGCTTCAGGCGCGCGTACAACGCGCAGAGCACGTCAGCAGGTTGCCGCGACACTCCACAATCCTGCGAATGCGAAGCTTGCTCGTACAGGGTCCTCGTCTTCGTCACCGGTGCCAAACGGAGGCTCGAACAGCCGTATCTGGGATGTCCTTTCTGGCGGCAAGCCTTTCAAGAAGGGTTATGGCAAGCCCATTCCGTCGCCGCGCGCGGTAGAACCGACGGTGGCATCGATATCCGCACCACTTCCCTTGAAAGGCGGCGAACATGGCAAATCGCGCGTCGAAGCTCCGGGTACGCCTACACCCAAACGTCCGAGGGGTCGCCCAAGGAAGAATCCTCGACCCGCGACTGAGATGGAATCTGTCGTGGATGATGCTAGCTCGCCTCGCAAACGGCGGAAGACAGAGGCGGTTTTCGTGTCTGTACCTTCAGAACGTATCAACATGCCATTCACACCTCCACCTGCTGCGCCTGTCTCGCGTCATAGGTCCTACTCTCAATACACCCCTGGTTCTCAACCGTCTTCTCCAGTAAGACGCGTCAAACTCATCGTGCGCACTCCGGAGCCATACTACTCGTCGCCCGCGCAAAAGCCACCACCGCAAGTTCATGCTGGCTCATTATCGGCTGCCTTGGACAGCTTTGACAGCGCAAGGCCGAAAGAAGATCTGAACGCACAGGCGCGAGCGGATGCAGCGGTGCTTGAGCGGGTGGCCGCTCTACGCAAAAGTGGCCGTATGCTTCTCTCCCCGAGCGAAGTGGAAGCCTTAGACCCAGGGGAAGATGTTGTCCGGGACGTCGACCAGCACCCTCAGCGGACGGTGTGGGACTTTGTCGTGGAGGACGTACGGTTGTGGCATGAGTCGCACGACTTTGATACGGGACCGCGCACCGCAGCGACCGTGGCGTCCAAAGTCAAGGGGTATTGGGAGGCTTACTCTGCCAAGGAGGATAAGGCGCGACTTATGGAAGAGAAGAGGCTTCGTGGGTTGGCAAAGGCGACGATAAAGCTAGTAATCGGAGAGTGGAAGAAGGCTGTCTATGTGAGTGACTCCTTATCGATTAGAACTACAAGATACTGACGTCCACCAATCGCAGCATTTGCGTGAACAGGACAGGCTGCAGAGGGTCGAAGAGGAGAAGCGATTAGGAAGGGAACATCTGGACGCGATCCTTGACCAGTCAGGGCAGATTCTAGAGTCACAACATCTAGACCTCGCGCGTACTGGGCGTTCTCGCAGCACGTCGACAGCTGCCTCCCTGCTTGATGCTTCGGATGATGAGGATGAGGACGACGTTGGCACAGAAGTGGATGAAGAGGAAGATGAACTGCAGAACGAAGAAGGGCAAATGCTGGATGAAGCCGAGGTCGAGGTTGCCTACGCCGATGCCGATACCAAGATGGGTCTTGCAAGGGACACTTCCATCCGTAGCTCTACCCTCGAGGCGTCCATTCGTGATGGCACCTCATGGGCTACCGACGGAGACCCCAGTGTGATTGATGACGAAGACGACGCGGACGACGAAGAGACGTATGCTCTTCTCGGCGGACGCCAGACCGTCTATCATCCGTCATCAGGAGATGCATCATATGAGGCCGATCCCATGTCCCCCAGTTCTGACTTGATATCTACGCCGTCTATGGAGGGCGATTCACTATCACGGCTTGAGCCGCAGCTCGTCACATCCCCACTCATGTACTCTACTGGCCTTGTACATGGACATAATCATAATCCAGCCACCCGCCCTCTTGCCTCCCTGGATGACTTCGATGCGCCTGTGTTCTTCAAGAGCGGTGACCCCGAGGCATTTCTCGAACCCACTGTGGATAATCCTGTGCAGCCCAGTTCTCTTACACCGCCCATGCCCATTGAGTCCGCTTTGGACGGTGACGGCGACGTTAAGATGAGCTCCGAGCCCGTCTCTTCCCTTGCGTACCCTACCCAACCATCACCGCCAACCAACGCTCTTACAACCGCACCAGAAGAATATGACGATGATGGGGCCGATGAAGAGCTGGATCCTCGCATACCTCATTATCTTCGGCAATTCGCGGTAGCGCCGGTGGATTGGGACCCAAATGCCCGGGTCATGCCGCCATCTCTATTGCGCGGCGTGCTTCGGCCGTACCAGCACGCAGGTCTGGAGTGGCTCGCAAGTCTTCACACGAGCAATCTCAACGGCATCCTGGCAGATGAGATGGGTCTAGGGTATGTGCATCCTTGTCAATGAGGCAAGTCACCCCACTGACGTCTGCACAGGAAGACAATACAGACTATATCGTTGCTCGCTCACCTCGCATGCGATCGGGGTATCTGGGGGCCTCATCTCATCATCGTGCCGACGAGCGTCCTACTCAACTGGGAGATGGAGTTCAAGAAGTTTCTTCCCGGGTTTCGCGTCCTGGCGTATCATGGCTCAACGAAGCGCCGGAAGGAACTGCGCCAGGGCTGGAACGATAAATATCGTTTCAACGTTTGTGTTACCTCCTACAACCTCGCCAGCCGCGACGCGCATATCTTCAAACGCAGGTCGTGGTACTACATGATCCTCGACGAGGCGCACATGATCAAGAACTTTCGGTCGCAGCGCTGGAACGTCTTGCTCATGTTCAGGTCATTCCGTCGGTTGTTGCTCACCGGCACGCCCCTGCAGAACAACCTGACAGAACTATGGGCGCTTCTACAGTTCTTGATGTCCGGAACGAACTTCGCCAATCTGAAGGAGTTCGGTGAATGGTTCGCGAGTACGTATCGCGACCGTCGTTCAACGTTCAAAGTTCCTGAACTAATTGTGACCTCAGATCCACTCGAGAAGGCCATTGAGGAGGGCAAACACCACGACGACGAGACTCAACAGCGCGTCACGAAGCTCCACACCGTCCTGCGCCCCTATCTCCTTCGCCGTCTCAAACGCGATGTCGAGAAGGAGCTTCCCAGCAAATACGAGCATCTTGTGTTATGCCCATTGTCCAAACGTCAACGCTTCCTCTACGACGAGTTCATGTCGCGTGCGGACACGCAGCACAACCTCACCTCCGGCGACTACTGGAATATCGCGAACGTCCTCATGCAGCTCCGCAAGGTCTGCAATCACCCCGATCTTTTCGAAGCCCGACCCGTCAAGACCAGTTTCGCAGTGACTCGCGCCGCCGTGGTGGACTTTGAGATCAAGGAACTCCTTGTCCGCCGCACGTTGCTACAAGACAATGCTGCGCAGATGGTTAACTTGGCTGTGTTCGGCTTTCACTTCTCCGCTTCATACAACACCTCCCTCTTCGCGGCTGTTGAGAGACGACGACTCGATGGCACGAACTTCTTTCCCTTCAGCGCAGAGTTGGAATCGCCTCCTCCCCATGATGTCCGCACTACCGAAGGCTTCAAGCGTCACCGCGACTACCAACTGCGTGCAGCCAGTGTGGCTCGCTGGACACACATCGCGTATCTCAACCGTTTGCGCTGTGCTGAAGAGCCTATCATTGGTAGCGAACTCATCGCCACCGTGCGAAACATGGCGCAGCCAATCTTACCTGTCTCGGCAGTCGACCATCGACATGGCTATCTCAATCGAGTGCTCGCCGTTAATCGTGCCGTCAAGTCTATTGAGGAGCGTGCGGAAGATATGGCGCCTTTCGTGGACCGGTTCGCGTTCGCGACACCTCCGGTTGTCGCACTCGGGATGCATCATTACGCACTCGTCGGCGCTGAAGATGATATCTCCGCACTATCCTCCAAAGCGTCTTTCGATGCGACCTTACATCGCGCAGCTGTCAGGCTGCAAGTCGAATTTCCCGACCGATCGCTACTTCAATACGACTGCGGGAAATTACAGCGACTAGCAGAACTGCTCCGGATTCGAAAGGATGGCGGACACCGTGTGCTTATCTTCACGCAGATGACGCGAATCCTCGACATCCTTGAGCAGTTCCTCACCTTCCACGGCTGGTTGTACCTCCGCCTGGACGGCGGCACGAAGATAGAAGACAGGCAGTACATCACCGAGCGCTTCAATTCAGATTCTCGCGTCTTCTGCTTCATCGCATCCAGCAGGTCGGGTGGTGTCGGTATCAAGTAAGTGGCTAATTTTGCATATCTACCGTGGTATACAAAGCTCACGCGATCACAGCTTGACGGGCGCGGACACTGTCATCTTCTACGATAGCGACTTCAACCCTCAGATGGATAAGCAGTGTGAGGATCGCGCTCATCGTATCGGTCAAACCCGGGACGTGCATATATATCGCTTCATCTCTCAGCACACTGTTGAAGAGGCTATGCTACGCAAAGCGAATCAAAAGCGCTCGCTTGACGATCTCGTCATCCAGAAGGGGGAATTCGACTGGAGATCTTTGTTCGGAAATGCTACTGAGGGCGACGACTTCGTGCGCGCTCTGGAGGACTATGCTGATGCAGAAGACGTTCAGGCGGCGCAGATCGCAGCACGTGAGGCTGGCGAACTGGAGGGCGCCGATAAATCCGACTTCGGTGAGGACAAGAAGGACAGCGTCGAGGTGTCGGAGACCCCAGTCGACGGCCTGGATGCCCACGATGACGAGGGAGGAGACGCGGATGAAGAAGAAGAAGGGGGATCGACGGTTGAGTATATGTTAGCCTTTATCCAACGGGATGCCGAGCACTTCTCAGAGTGGCGTTTGTAATTCTGCCAGGCGGTCTTGGTCTATCTACTGTGTATTTTACAGATGCTGCCTATCACTTCTTGATCGTAAACTCTCATGCGTGGTACATGATCGCGATTTGCCACTGATCAAGATAATGTGTTCATGATTCATGAATATTGCATGAATCCTCATGCAAGTGATTTCTCGACACATCGTATCATGAGTGCCAGTGGTATAAGGGTTGCTTGAGTGTGTGACCGTATATTGTACATGGTGGTATACATCATGAGGTATGTTTTCGTCGAGTTCGCGAATCAGTCAGAGTTGAGCGTCCTCAGTGGCTTCTCGAGATGAGACTGCCGTCTGACAGCAGACGACGTGCTCTTTGAGAAGCAAGCAGCTTTTGTATCTAGTCCTAGTCTTTAGGGTTATCGTCTAGTGCAGGCATTAGCTGTACGTATGCGCCCGCTAGAAGGCAAACTTGCCTTGATTGGGTGTTTTGCCGTGCAGTCTTGCCAAAGTTGCTCTAAACTCTCCGAACGAGGAGTCTAGCTCGGCGAGGGTTGAAGGGACGAACCCCGACCGTCCATCTAGGATGAGTTAAGCCCAGATCCTGATCAAAGAGGTTCTTGAAGCTTGCATTTTACAGTTTCGAGAGGAGGCGGCGGCATGGGACGAGCCGCCAGATCATCGAGCCATGGGCAAGGTGCAATGTTGCTCCGAGCCCTGTCGAGTCTACTTGAATCTGTTGCTGCTTCTGATTCGTGTCCTGTCTCTTGTTCGACCTTTATGATGATGGGTAATTCAAGGGATCGAACTTCCGGTGAAGCAGTAGAGGAAGGGGTAGGGAGGGAGGTGGTCTGTATGGTATTGCGCCTCGCACGCATTTGATCGACGAGCCGTAGCCCTTGTAGCAGTGGTATCTGCAAGTCATTACACCATCTACCGACATCCCTGTCACTGGCAGTCGGTGTTCTGGTGAATAATGTATCCAATGCCTGCACCACATTGTGATCCAGATGCTGGGTATCGACTGTGCTCTCAGTGTGAGAGATAGATCATGACCGAGGGAGGCGGACGTACGTGGTGGCGCCGCATGTGCACTGGCACTACGATCCGGGATATTCCTACTCGAGTTCCGCCGGTTCACAAACCAGTTGCTCACTTGCTCGGTCGTGTATTGTATGTTGTCAAGTCGGCTAACTTTTTGAGCTAGTGTTATACGGGCATCGCGAGGCGGATGAGTGCCAATATTGGTGTAGTAATCTGTTTTTCCTGTGAGTATTCAGCCAGACCAAGCTGAGCTGAGAAACCGACCGAGCAGTAATTGTCGTGCAGCATTAGATATCCGAACAACGACCCGCTTTGTAGGTGTTACAACTGAGGAAGGGCCGGGGGCCCCAGGCAATGTCTGAGTTGGGGGTAGAGTAGAAGACATGATTCTGACCGACTGGGGTGCTACCGATGGCTTGCGTGGGAGTTTGACGGGCGCCTTTATAAGCCACGGCAATTTCAAAATTCTGGAAGGTCCAACGCGGCCTGGGCTGTCTCCTGTCGCGCAAAGATACCGCGGGATCTGAAGACAACCAATGGGAAGAGACAATTCAAGGGTGCAAGGTCCGAGGGTTCCTTCAACATGACCTAAACGCTCACAAAGGGCCGTCGGAATCAATAGTACTGTAATGAAGGTTCTGGAAGCGCAGACGAGCGTGCCAACTCAGATCATCAGACTCTACGATAGGCCATCCTATATGATGATTGGCCATCTCGTCTACAGTACGCAGTGATGAAGATTGGGACTTCGCCGCTTGCGGCCCTATAAACACAGCGCGTACAATGAGGAATACCCCATTAACACATCAAGTAGTTGAGATTGCCGCAGCAGCTAGTTCCACCCCAGTCCCTTCAGACCAAACGGTCAGTCGGAACGAGCGACTGTCGCCCAAGCCCTGCGCACTGGGTGCTAAGAGATATCTTCCTTCACGAAGCAGTGTCCGTGGCATAGATGCTCCAGCAGGCGAATCCGTGAGCTCCGAAGCAAACGTGAAATGCTGCGGGCCTGCGAGTGCGAACCGGACCGATGTCGATGGCGAGTACCCCTGCATCTGCAATCGTATCCTTAATTCTTCCTCAGCATATCATCAGATAAGGAAGGCGAAAGTACGGACATTACCCGCATGGGCTCACTGAGTGTGAGCATATATCTTGGGGCTTGGTTCTCAGAAGTCCTAACGAGCGGGGTTTGGTGGTTTCAACAGGCCAGCATGTGCAATTAGAGCCTACCATTCTCCGCGGACCACCTTCTGGAACATGCCTACGCCTTCGGGAGGTATGGCGTCCAGGGCTGTATGGGCATCACTCTCGATCTTCAGAGAGAAGGCGCCGATATGAGTTGTTTCGAAGGCCGATACGATCACCGTGTACATCCCGGCTGTGAGCAACTCCTTAGTATAGAGTGAGAAGCGGATATGACATAGACAACATACGCGCAAGCGCTGCTGATGTGCGAGCGTATGAATAGCTATAGGCACCTGACGTTGCTAAAGCCGTGGTTCGAGAGAGACTATAACGTTGAGTCACGCATGGAGACATTGATAATCGACTCGCTCACTCAACGACTCGCTCTCCTTTACCCCACGCTATCACTACATTCACGGGTAGGGCACGCCCTGACGTGGCTATCATAGCGACGCGGACTTTCTCTCCAAACCGAGGGCGTGAAACGGTCAGCTTGTATTGAGGATTGTACATGTAGGTCGGGAGATTATGATTGCCTCCTGCAGACTTGGCTGTCAAGGCTCCGGACACCTGTGGATGAGGTATCTGAGCTTCAGAACCCCCAAAGCATGATGTATGGATCGTACTGTGGTTTGAAAGGGAAGAGTGCGTTGTGCGGTATCCCAGCGTACGGGAGCGACCGAGAACACATCGATAGTGTACCCCACGTCAAGCTCTTGGCCGTCGTATGACGCTGTGACACTGAGCAGCATACCAGAGCCCGAGGTATGTTTGTATCGACGCTGCGCATGCTCTCATTGATCGGGCCGGATACAATGGATATCAGATACTCACTAGTACATATGGGTTATCCGTGAAGGTTCCCTGCTCGTCCGTTCAGATCCACATTCATCAGTAACGCAGCTCCACACACCTTGACACGCGTTCTGTCAGAGCGCTTCATAGCTATAGGTTCAGGAAGAGCATCCTCCTCGTCGACCTTTAACGAGATATACTGGGACGACAACCTCGTCTTGGAGATGTGCCTAGTAAGCAGAATATGAACCCGCTCGTCGGAGTCCGTGTCATTCGCGCTTATTGGAAGGCCGTCGACGTTAACATAGAAGACTTGATGAGACGCTGGAGAATGATCGTCAACGCGTCAGTGCACGTCGAAGATGAGCGACGCTGTAACATTACATTCGTCTCTTTCTGCCTCAGAAAGATGCCGGCCACGCCATGCCCTGAAGCCCGGATAAGTACGGTCCGTCAAAGTGGCCGGCGCACAACGAGACGCACCCGTGAAAGCAGATATGATGGGAGAATCGGCAAGGGTTATGGCTCACGAAAATGCTGTCAAAAGTGTGCATAATATCTTCGAAGGGCATTCGCAGGTGTCCTGGTATGCGTAAGAAGTCATAGTCAAGTCCGGAAAGAAAGTACTGACTGGTTGGCTGCTTGTTATTCAAGGAAAGTTCAGACATCTGGGAACTGACATCTTCTGCCGCTTTGAAGTCAAGTATAGTCATGGTGCGATCATCATCGTCGGCTAGGCTGGCATCTTCGCTCAGCTCAGCATCAAGCCAAGGTTAGTTGAAACGGAACTTACCGATGACCGCGTAGCTATGGGCGGGTAAAAGCTGCACACCCCGCCACGACGTCGGTCGGTCATCGGTTCCCAGCGTGATAACAGCATGTCCTATAATAGGGTGAGAGGGGTGTAGCATTTCTGATGAGAAAACTTGCCATCGTGAAAAGCGTTGGCGTATCTATGCCATAGACGCTCGGGTCGACAGTGGGTGCTTGTCCTGTTCAGATTTATACTATGCCGAGAAAGCAGTGACCAACCTCTTGAGACGTTTATGCTCCGGTATCCATCCCAGAAGAGCACTATCAAATCGTCAGACAGGAAGACCCAGTTACAGGAGTACGCACTGGAGGTCGACGCCCGAGTTGGAGCCTGGGAAGTCATACCCGCCGAAAAGCTTCAGGTACTGCTCAACCAATACAGTCAGATAAACGTTGAGCGATGTACGCTGCGAAGTACCTACGGCTTTCTCCAACAGAGCGGGCCATAGGTTTGCCGTACTCTTCGAAGCCATGCACATCAACTTCCCGTCCCGGTCATATGGGAGTCGCAAGTCGATCGCTACTCGCAAGGTAGGTCAGCCTCCTGCAAGGGCTATGCGGAATGTATGCGTACATATCTGCAGGACCCATTCAGTGAAGGGTAATTTCAGTACACAGTGTTACTACGGACTCGTCTGTGGCAACCATTGAGATACACGTCAAGGTCATATCCTCCATCTCGGGCGCGTAACCGCGGGATAGATGCATCGGTGTTGAAGCGGCGACTGTAAGCTAGAGCGACGACGACGGAAGCGTGTAAAGAGCAATCAGCTATACGCTGGGCAATCTCTTCGCCTTCCAGTGATGTCGGATCAACCCAGGATTCGTCTGGTTGTCGCCATTCAACGCCTGCTGCAAGTTGTTCTGGCGAGAGTTCGGGTTGCCGGTCTCTTCTATCAGCCGACTCAGTGAAAGAGCGCCCGTCATTCAGACTCCACCTACGTGGCGCCGTCGCTTTCTACCATGCGACCAGATGTGGGTGGCAGACGCAGGCGGTTCACGACTGACCCGGCCCGTAAAATCCGATCTTGCTCCTCTGAGAACGTGTGAGCCATGTTGTACTGGAATGCGTAGACTACTCAGCTTTACCTGGTGCAAACGGATCTCGCAACACTGGTGCGATCGTTGATCCTTTGGCAGCCTTGATCTTCTCCGCACGCTCAACAGCGCGAGCAGCGGCCGCTTTATGTCGTTCAGAGCCCTCACCGGAACTCAAGCGGCTCAAAGTGAGGTGTGATGATGCTGCCTTGATGTACTGCGCGAAAGCATTGTCGTAATCATGGGCGAGCTCGGCTTTCGCTGCGGCGGTAAGAAGGGCGTCTGCCTCGGCAGGGGAGGTCGTGGCGCGATCCATACAGGAAGCTTGTGAGCAAGATGCGTTATATCACAACGATGCTATCGCAGATTGATGTAGCGAAAGGCAGTAGCGCTAGGATGATAACACAATGTGGCGCTCGTTGGTGGTGGGTCTTGTGAGAGGCGCGGCGCGTCTCAGACGCGTCCTGCCTGCAAGAGCTTCGGCAACGCCCGTGCTCCTCCTACCTCGCATCTGGCGGTCGCGATCGCGGGAAAGGAAACGACTTCTGACTCAGCTACCCTAGAAGAGCCGACCTTCTTATGGCGTCTGGTACGTGCGGGTTGGGCGAAACTACAAAAGCGGATGAAGAAAACCGAGACTTGTATGCTACTGTAAACTACTTGTACTGCTCAAACCTGACCATGATGCGCCGAGACGGGAGACTGGTATCGTACTGTACGTATGTATGAAAACATGACGAGGAGAAATGCTACTACTACTTGAGATCGAGAAAATGACCGGGAGTCTTATTTCGTGAGTTTGGATGAC